TTCCAGGACGTGGTGTGTCACGATCCACCGTCTGTTCTACCACCTGATAGGGGTGTACGTCATGAAATTGACTTGGTTCCCGGAACCAAATACTGTGTAACACGGCAGTGGCCTTTACCCAAAGAACAGTGTGACGTCATTGACGAGTTCTTTCGTGCAAAGCACGCGGCGGGCATGGTGCGCGAGAGTAAATCTCCGCACTCGACACCCACTTTCTGTGTTAAGAAGCCGAATGTTAAGTGGCGTAGTGTTCATGCTAATAATAAGCTCAATGCGGCCACTATACCTGCACAGACGCCAATACCTAGAAAAGATGTTCTTCAGAACAATATGGTCGGTTGTACCATGTACAGTGCGCTCGACTTAGTCGATGGTTATTACCAATTGCTCATGCGAGCTAGTGATATTCCGCTTACGGCTGTTAGTACTCCGAGCGGTATGCTCTGGGAGTGGTTAGTGATGCCTCAGTGGATATCTAATGCTCCGGCTACGTTTAACCGTTTGGTGACGCAATTGTTTCGACCCCATCGAAGTTATGCACAGACGTACTTTGATGACATTTTTGTCCATAGTCGAGCTGAACATGGGCGGTCAGGTATTGAGAACCATATTGTTCATTTACGAGATGTGCTCGAGTGCATGCGCACTAACAAATTATATGCTAATGCATTTAAGTGCATCTTCGGGGCCGAAGAGATTCCCTTTCTAGGGTGCTTCATTGGGAAACGGGGCTTACGAGCGGATCCCGCCAAGGTCAAAGCCATAGTCGATTGGCCTATTCCACAGTCTCAGAAGGACTTGCGTAAATGGCTTGGCCTTGCCAATTACTCACAAAAGTACAGCGAGAATTACGCTGATATGGCTCGGTCGTTATCCAATCTCCTTAAAAAGGATGTGAAATGGTGTTGGCATGCCGAACACGAAGATGCTTTTCAAGCGGTGAAGGCGAGCCTTCTACATGCTCCTATTTTGGCTTTGCCAGACCCTGACCGACCGTTTAGCGTCGTCTGTGACGCATAGGATTTTGCCATTGGCAGTGCTCTGTTACAATCAGATGATGAAGGCCGTGAGCGTGTAGTCGCTTTTGATCTCGCCAGCTGAAAGCTGCAAAAAAGAACTATCCAGTTCATGACAAAGAGCTACTTGCGATGAATTATGCCCTGGTCAAATTCAGAGTTCATCTGCTGGGCTCAAAGCCTTTTGTGATCTATACCGGTCATGCGTCGTTACGCACTGCGACTCAGTCGCCGCATCTCTCGCAGAGAATGGCCAGATGGCTGTCATTCTTTGCCGAATATAATTTCGAGGTGAAATATAAGCCGGGCAAGCAAAATGCTTTGGCTGATGCGTTGTCACGTAGACCTGACTATGAGCTTGCTCATGTGACGACGTTGTCGTCTTCTATCACCAAGCTCATTCGTACGGCGTATGCTAAAGATGATCACTGTATAGCGTTGCTACATGCTCTTGGCAGTGAGGAGTTTGAAGACTCGGACATTAAATTGTCGGCACGATTACGTGCGAGCCTCCATCGATATTCTATCGATGAGGGGCTGTTGTACTATCGTACAGATGTAGCGGATCCTCCGCGAATTGTGGTTCCTCATGACGAGGACCTGAAGTATCGTATCCTCTATGAGGTACGTGACACCGCCATCGGTGGTCATTTGGGTCGTAAAAAGACCTATGGGGCAGTATGCCAACGTTATTGGTGGCCAAAATTATATAAATGGGTGAGCACATATGTACGTGTGAAACATGTCAACGGGTAAAACCTTCGCCCCATTCGGCGGCGCTGCTGGCTAGTTTGCCTATTCCCACTGGGTGCTGGGAGTCCATTAGTATGGACTTTGTGTTTGGCCTACCAAAAGATTCGCATGGCAATACGGGTATTGTGGTCTTTGTGGACCGTTTGAGCAAGATGGCTCACTTAGCGGCTGTGCCAGACTCGATCGATGGTGAAGGTACAGCGGAGATGTTGATAGACCGAGTGTTTCGCCAACATGGCTTGCCAGTGGCAATTGTTTCTGATCGTGATCCTCGTTTCACGGGTAAATTTTGGAAGTCCGTCTTCCAGGTGCTGAGACACCCAATTGGACATGTCGACAGCGGATCATTCGCAGACCGATGGTCAAATTGAACTTATTAATCGCGTCGTTGAGTATATCCTCCGCAGTGTTTGTGCTGAACGAACAAGCGTTGGAGCTCTATGCTCCCTGCTGTAGAGTATGCACTCAATAAATCCGTGCACACCTCTACCGGCTACCCTCCGTTCTATGTGAATGGCTTCACCCACCCACGCGTTCTGTTAACGCTACCAACGACTGATTCAGGGCTTCGTGAGAGAGAAGTTGCCGATCGTCTTGCTGATGTCAGCACTATCACTGTTAAGAAACAGGTAAATGCGTTTCTCGCAACGCGACTAAATGTCTTACGACAAGTGCAAGATGCAATGGCGGATAGTCAAGATAAACAAAAAGAATATGCAGATGTGAAAGGCAGAGGTTGTATTAATGATTATGAGGTCGGAGACCAAGTATTATTAAATGCTAAAAATCTACGTACCGATGTAGTATCCGCTGTCTTTGAGACGAAGTTGCGCCCGCGCTTTATCGGACCCTTTAAGGTCATTGCCAAGAAAGGCACAGCGTATACGCTTAACTTGCCGCGCAAATTGCGTACACATCCTGTGTTCTATGTTGGCATGCTCAAAAGGTATCGGGATCGTCCCAAGTACACATTAAGGCGCTCGCGCCGAGCCCATTGGCACTGTCGCAAGACGAAGCATGTGCGCCAACAGGTCAAGCAAACCCTGCATTCAGGTCCGACTCTCTTCCAGGGACGCAAGCCGGGAGTTCATCGTCTGCCTCTCCTCACGAAGGGACCGCACCTCTTGAACAAGCTCGGCATGAGCTTGTGGCGATACACCGGCCTCCTCCTCCTTTGCTCGATGCGCAGGGGAACCTACAGTTCCATGTGGAGCGTCTACTGCAGAAGCGTCGCCGCCATGATCAAAACCAGTATCTGGTAAAGTGGCGGGGTTATCCCGAATCGTGGAACTCATGGGAGCTTGAGACTCCCCTTCGGCAGGACTGCCCATACGCCTTGGACGTTTTTGAGCGTCGTGCGCAGGGTCAGCCTGTTGGCGCTGACGCTTCTCACCAGTAATGGTGGGCGTGGGTAGGTTAGCGGCCTCGGCCGCGGCTACAGGGGTAGCCGAAACATTGGGATTCTGGGTAGCAGACGCATAATGCGTTCGTTGGGATTTCAATTTTTCCCGGGCCTTCAATTTAGCGTAATCGTAACGCATCTTCCGCTCAAGTCGAACATCTGCCACATCGGCACTTGCCCGTAGGGCCCACATGCTGCTTAAACGTCGCGCATAATGCGCCCAACGGCTGAAAGCCGTGTCTTCTTCGTCCTCGGTTTCCCCGCGAACAGAAGGATGGGAGCACCCTTTATGGGAGGAACTGGCGCACCGCGCACTTGCCTGTTAAGGCGTGCCAAGTATTGGCTTTGTGTAGTGATGTGGGGTTCCAGATATCATTGTCGAAGTGCCGTGCGCGTGGCAACATCCTTAGGTGAAATGGCCTCAGGACCAATGGTCAAACCAGAAAGGGAATGCCCAGATGCTTCCTTTAGGCGTTCTTCCACCGTAGGTGGCTTGAACCTGTAATGTCGGTGGTCCTGCAGTCTCGTCATATCCTTCGTCCGGCGCTTGGCGCCTTCCTCTTGGTCAATGGTCCACTGTTGCTGCTCGTCGAGTGGGTTGGTAACTGTTACCGTTGATGATACGTCAGGCGGGTCACGTAACGCTGTTAGCGCATCTGCTGCACCACGTTCAGGGAACGGATTCGGTGCATGACTAGTGTCATCTTCACCCGTGAGGGTGGCTAAAGGGGACCCATTGGGTCCCACAAAGACGGTGTCACTTTCGTAATCAACCGCTTCGTCAAGGTTATCTTCAATGAGGTCCCGAAGAGTCTGTGACTCACTGCCGGGAGGCGTCATGTTATGTGCCATGAACAAACCGTGAGGTTTTAAGCGTTCGCTAAAGCACTACCTCTACGAGGAAAAATGTCGAGTGACATTCTATGGGAACGTCAGTCTGGTAAGGGAGGGTGTAACGGGGTTACACGACGGTTGTAGCGTCTTTCCGAGAGTTTACGGTTAAACTCTCCTTTGTATTGCATATATTGCATTATTATACTTCTCTTTTAGAGAGGTATTAAGTATGAGCGTTAAGATACGGTATTCGGTAATACCGTATCTTATCGATTAGGATTCGATGAATCGATAACGCTGTATTAAGTACATCATACACAGATGTTTAGACGATACGTCGTCCAATAGCAAAGTCTGCATATCATAATTACTATTATAGTAATTAATCTAGTGTAGTGTACTTAGAGTAGGACTATTCATAAAATCTTAAAGCATTAATAAAATCAGTTCTCCTTTTGAGTTTAAGATAAAAAGTCGTTCTGACTTGCTCTCTTGTGCACTTCGTGCGTTGGTTCTCGGAACCCCTAAGCTTCTAGCTTGTTCTGCACTCTGTGCGTTGGTTCTATGAACCTTAAGCTTATTGCTTGCTGACTAAAAGTCTCTCCTACTTCCTTAGAAGAGGGTGGCTTTAAAGTCGTTTAATTAGTTCCTTAGAACTAAGTGGCTTTTAGCCTTAACTCTATTTAGTTCTCTAGAACTAAGAGGCTTCCAGCCGAAAGTCTTCCTTTGGCTAAAGAGCTGTGCAGCTCCGCTACATTGAAGGGCGGAGAGTGGGGGAGAAAGCTCAGCGTTTAGATCGTTCACTGTTTTACGTTAGCTAAAATTTATAATATTTTCATTTAGCGGTGGCTTAAGAAAGGTAGTGGATTCAACCAAAAGGTAGTGAATATAACAATTACCTATTTTTATTGACACTTCATTATAAGTGTCAATATTATGTAACGAACTCACCCCGTTACATTACAGGAACACCTAGTAGTCGATTTTGGATCGTAATGGCGGAGACTCCGTCGCTGTTCGCATGCGCGCTGGATGTATTGACAACGGTTGATGTCTTTGCAAAGGCTGAGAAGACCTATAAGTATGTAGGGCAATGGAAGAATGGTGCGATCAATGTGGTCTGTAATGAAGACGACGACGTGAAGAGCGTGCCAGACCATCCGGCGCGACCGGAGAATGTGAAAGTTGTTCCAGTTAACAAAGCCAAGCAGGGATCCCGTAAGGTTTTCGTGCATAGGTGAGTCACAATAGAGACTTGCAAAGATTGGCAATGCATCTCATTCTCCGAGAGACCATTGCGTTGCTAGGCTCTACCTGTACTAACCCTTAGCTGTGTTTGTCACCTACATGCACACTGTCACAATACAACAGTTTGGTGCACTCTGAAAGCTACGCGATCGATGTCATGTGGGACATGGTGTGTCGCTTTGTGCCGCACAATCTGCCTCGTGCATTCTACGACGACTGGGTTCGTATCGCAGGTGAGGAAGCAGACCACTTTACTAGGTGGGCACGACGTCTCACGGAGCTCGGTAGCTTCTACGGCGACCTCACGGTCCATGAAGGTCTCTGGGATGCAGTCTATGAAACTCGCCAAAGCATTCTGGCACGTCTGGCTGTAGTGCATCTTATTCATGAGTCTCGCGGGCTTGATGTGTTTCCAAACGCTGTAAAGAGATTCGAGAAGGCCGACGATAAATCAAGTCTGGAAATCATCAACAAAAACTACCGCGAGGAGACCACTCACGTGGAGGCTGGAGTACGTTGGTTCCGATATGTCTGCGAGCGGGATGGCGGTGATCCCATTGCAAAGTTCCACGAGATTGTACCGCAGTACTACAAGGGCAAACTGAAGCCACCATTCAACAAGGAAGCACGCAGCAAAGCTGGAATGTCGGAGGAATGGTACCTTCCTCTCAGCTTGGAACCTGGTGTGACGGAAAAGAAACCCACTAGCGCTACGACAATCGAAGAAACGACAACTGCGATGTTATCGATGAAGGTAGACTCATTTGTGTCGTAAAGGAGTCTAGCGCAAGCGGGAGCTGTGCTCCAGCCTCAGGTGGGACGCTCGCCTAAAAATAAGCCAGCGCTGTTGCAAGGGTAGACTAGTGACGGCACAATTGCGGCGAGTACGATAAACATCTGAACGAAAAAGAATGCAAGCAGTCCGTTTCAAGTAGAAACAGTGTAAGGTTGTCAACTCAAATTGGAGCTGCTCGTGTCATCCTCTAGATGTCCTCGCTAATCGAGCTTACAGTCTACTTTTATTGTCATACCTATCATTCAGTGACTATCAACAACCACTTGCAGCAACGTCCACATATCTACGGCTCCTCCCTTACACTACAGTGTACGATAAACTCGTTAGCACACTGGCATCTAGCCCTTCCGTCTCTGCATACAACACTCGCTTTCCCGGTCCACCTCACAAACAAGTCGACCCATCGGTTTTTTGTTGTCTCCAGTCATCACTACCAAATGCTTGGGTCAACGCCTGGCTTCGTTCCTTGACTGCAAGTCTGCTATTCTCAGTCAGCTTCTCTCTCTCGGCCGTCTGCTCACCTTCTCCGGTGCCAGCGAGGGTGATCATCCCTTTGACTACGTAACTCTCCGTCTCATAGCAGCTGTTTTGATGCGTGCTTGCTCATCATCCAGCTCTCCAACCACTTTGCCCGCTGGGTACGTTCGCCACCTTCTTGCTGCAGACCAGACGATTTCTTCACAAAATACTACTGTATTGGCAGGTGGGACCAGACAAAGTCAGCATTATAAGCTGAACATGTACATAATACACCCAGTCAACTGATTCAACCAATTGCCATTACGTTATTACCAGTTGATGCAATAGGATTGCAAGCATGTGGTGCCATATAATCCTGTGTCTGCAGCAGAATAAGTCTTTCTTGCATTGCAAGTGGTCCTAACTTCAAGTGAACATACTGGAGCTTGCTTCCTCCAACCTAAATTTATCATATACCTCCTCACATTAATGAGACTCATCATATTGGGCCAGCATTGCCCAAAAACATACTGAGTCTTCGCTCGTCGGTAAGAGAGCCTCAACACCACAATGCTCGACTGTTGCGCATTAATTATCGCATATCTAAGGCTTCGTACTCGATGCAACTTCTTATGGATCGAGCGGTTGCGAAAATCCCCTTTTGATAACAGCGCATATATCCACTTACGATGTCTCTGTCAACTTCCAGCTCCAGGAGGAGGATACAATTGATCTATTGATCTGATTGCAGCACGATCTGATGGCACGTGCAGCATTTTAGCTAACCAATGCACGTGCCCTTGTCATTCGGCTCGATAATTGAATACTTTTGGCTCATGACATCCTTTACCGTAACGTTTCTGCTTTCCAGGTGTTGCGGACCATGATGACAGTCAAAACTGACTCTGGTCTTCTGACATGCAGTGCTGCAGTGCCAGTACATCATGCATAGCAATTATGCATGTAGACTACTCATCAATTACCCATGGTAGATGTAGTAAAAGTTGCGTCGTACCGCATGATCATGCATAGAGTTCGCACCGTCCAAGCACACGCATGCCCTCTCCCTGAATGGCAACGGCAAAGCCACGCTCACCCAAGTGGTCACTTGAATTCCGCTCAGTTCAACAGCGCCCATTTCTGGGCTCAATCACAATCTTGAATTGCTCTCTGGCTGCTGGTACGCATATTCAAACTTGCTGTGTCACGAAGACTGGTAAAGGCCACAAAGCGTGGAATAGGAAAAAATATGCAGCCTAGAGTATCAACTAAGACGGTCGTGCTAGCTTTGGCTATCATGATGGTGTGGATCGATAACTTCGTTGATGCACGACCGATGCACGCGGACATCATTCCTACATATCTTCAGTATTTGGAGGAGAAGGAACAAGTGGCGGCCGAGCTGGAGAAGTGGCTGAAAGTGTATGGACCCAACGGAACGAAGAAGGGGTTTATGCCCGTAACGGAGTCGCGTAGTGGCGATCAAAAAGAAGATCTGCAACAACGGCTCTTCATGACCAAGAACCAAATTAAAAAAGCACAAAAGGCCAACCCACACGCTGTATTAGGCACTCAAGGACCATTCACGCTGATGACAATGGAAGAGTTTCATGAGTTCCTATCGAACAGTCATGTTGCTCAAGCTCATAAGCCAGAACCTCCGCTATCTAAAAATACTTCAACTAACACTTCGAACAACGGCGACTTTGACAACGAAGACGTCGAAAATGAGGGAACCTCCCCAACAAAGCGGTTGCCAGCCACTACGGCATCGACACCAATTGCTGCGACGCGTCTACTTCGGAACGTAGAAAAAAGCGACCTCACTTTCGATGTAGGGGACAACAACGAGGAGATGGGCTTTGAAAGTATCGCCGACTCTGAGACTGTGCATCAAAGCCAAAAACCATATCAACGCAGCACTACCACGGCCACAAACAGAAATTGGAACTTTGAAGATGTGTCAACGGGTGACAAGGCCCAAATTGCTCAAGTATCTGATGCTGAGACATTATATTTCGAGTCCACTTACGCACCTGCATCAGATTTGCAGTCGACTTCAGTATCAAGTGAGAATCCACCTTCTGGAATATCCCGCTATCAGCGGACGGAACCTTGTTCAGGTAACGATTGCCAAGCGCCAGCCACCCAAGCACTCATATACTCAATGCTAACACCAGCCTCACCTGCTCTGGCTCCAGCTTCTGTTCCAGTGGAGGAATCTTCGATGGCGGTAAGGGATTCCGACTCGGATTCCATCGACTGGAGCACATCGGTTTGCGTCAGCGATCCTGGCCTGCAAGGTCAGTGTAGCAGCGATTGGGCGTTTGCAACCGTCGCTGCGCTCGAAGCTGCGCAGTGTATCTACAATGGCAACAAGAAGGCACCTACGTACTCAAAGCAGCAGCTCGTCAGCTGCGACAAGAAGAACTTTGGATGCAACGGCGGTGCTCCTGTGTACGCTATGGAGTACGTCCGTGACAATGGAATATGCTTAGAAAGTAGCTACGAGTACACGTCTAAAGAGGGCGGCCAAGCTGCCGCGTGCTTAACGTCGTGTACGCCGACCAAATCAGAAATCACAGAAATTGGAGCGATCGAATCTGGAGACGAGAGCGCTTTGCTCAGTGTCGTCAAGCAGCAGCCAGTTATTGTCTCAGTTATATCGAGCAATCCGGCATGGAAGCAGTACATAAGCGGTGTCATCACTGCTTGTCCCACTGCAGAAGTGGATCACGCTGTGCTTGTGGTTGGTTACGATGCCCACACCATTAAAATCAAGAATTCTTGGGGTACTGATTGGGGTGAGAATGGATACGTGCGTATCAGTCGCAGTTCACAGAACATGGGTACATGCGCTGTACTCACCGATATGTCTTATCCTATACTTTAGCACGAACATGAGGTCATGTGGCCCACATTAGTCTATGTACACCACCCAGCACACACTTACCTGGTCAGTAAAGCCCTCCGATCAGATCATCGTGCTGATGTCTTCATTGCTACGTTTATTGTGCTTCCGCTCCACCAGTCTTCCCCGCCTTGCAATGAGCTTTTCCTCTTGTCGTTCCGCCTCTTCCTCCAACGTCAAAGCTACCGCTCTGACGCGCTTTGTGGACGAGAATGGTGCTATTCGCTGCGGCCAACGTACGGACGACGGTATCACTGCGTTACTTGTAGAAGACGACGATCCTCTGGGCAGTTTGCGCTTTACAGGTGAGACTGCCACTATCGAAAAGCTGCTGGCTCCAGTGGTGCCATCACAGATCCTCGGTATCGGTCTCAATTACCGTAAACACGCCAGGGAGACCAATCAGGCGGAGCCGAAGTTTCCTGTGCTCTTTACTAAAGGTGTCAATGCTTTGCAACACCCACACGGTCCTGTGGTGATCCCTCGGATTGCCTCAGATCCCCCTGAGGTCGACTATGAGTGTGAACTTGCGGTTGTACTAAAGGAAGCCTGCTGCAATGTGACGGAGACGGAAGCTCTGACGTTTGTAGGTGGGTACACTTGTGCTAACGATATCTCGGCACGTCGCTGGCAGGGTGCGAAGGGAGGAGGTCAATGGTGTCGAGCTAAGACCTTTGACACTTTCTGTCCCTTGGGACCGGTGCTCGTGACACCTGAGCTCATTCCAGACCCACAGACACTCGACATTGCTACGTATCTCAATGGTGAGCAGGTGCAGAAATCCAACACGAGTGATATGATCTTCTCGGTTGCAAATCTTATCAGTCAGCTCTCGCAGGATTGTACATTGCCTAAAGGCACGCTTATTTTGACAGGAACATCCGAGGTAAGATAACAATTGTTGACAAAGTGATGTCTATTAGAAAGCTAACAGTGTTGTATACGACTTTGAAGGGAGTTGGTTTCACCCGTAACCCGCCAATATTTCTTGCACCTGGTGACATGGTGGAAATTGAGATTGAGCGCATTGGCAAGCTGGTGAATCCTGTTGTTAGTGCGTCGGCGATATAAGTACAAAGTGGAAAGTAAATGTAGTCTGGTCAATATGACGCCACTGTGTGTGGCTGTCAAAACATATTGTAGGGTTCTTATCGGTTGCGAGTTGCAAACCACACAACAACTTTATTGACAAATTCGTTTAACAGGCGAAGTGACTCGAGTATTGACCTCCAGCATTAACAACAATGTGTGGGTCTCGTGCTCCCGTAATGTTTCTACGCATAGCGTGACCCAGCTTTGTGGCAAGCAATGTAAGTGCGAAGGCTCTGTAAACATGCGGAGATATCGGCACAAAGACGACGACAGCACAAAAGACAACGGGTGTTTGTCTTACTTTAACCTGCAAATTGCAGTCTGTTATACGCAGTGACAACCGGCTTAACTCCGTCGCAGAGGCTCCGAACACGCCGACATATGTGGTCTGCGGCGCACCAACACGCAAGTTTTTTTTCAAGAATGGCCCATACACTTTTATCTACTTGCAAACATCGAAACGATAAAGGAATGCCATTGCAGCATGGATTTTAGGTGAGACCGAAAGGGGTCCAATTTGTACTCTATTCGCACAAGGCCACTGCGTATCGGACCTTCCCGTGACGCTACTGGTCCCATCTGATCTCGTGCTTGGTGTTGTGATTACAAATAACACTGCGACATGCTACGTCATCTCCTGCTCGTTGCTCACGCTGAGCATGGAGCTGGCTTACTTCAGACGAATGGATGTCAGAAATTTCTCAGTTTTCCTTTTTGTTAAATTGTAAATCCGAAGAGTTAAGACAAGCCAAAAGGGACACATTAAACACGGACATGTGTTGTCCAAAGTTCAGTTTTGGAGAAGCAATGTGCAAGTAAACAATACTTAAACAAGTAGCTATTTTACTGACAATTTTAGCTTTTTTAAGCGAAAAGTAAACTTCATCGCATCTTATCGTGATTTTGTAAACGCTGCAGCAACTCAACCTGTCTCTATGGACATTTACATTCATTCTTGCAAAATGTATGCTGTCTGCTCGTTGTTGATTGGCTCGTAATTTCCCTCAACCCGACGCCGGAAGTAACGCAACTACTTCAGCGAGCCAGCCGGAATTCCCCCACACAAGTAAGCCGCGTGGTTCCAACTGAGCAAGTTGCCGCTGCTTCTTCTCTGTATTTTCCAACGAAATACAAACGACCATTCGATCAACGATTACGGAAACCACCTTCTGGAGACGCTTAACGTTCGATTTGAACAGCTTCCGACTACTTTTCCGTATTTTATTTGATAAAGTTTGACAATCTCGACGGTACTTTTTGGAGCCTGAAACGTTTACTCTCTCTCTCTCTCCCACGAGACTTGTTACTTAAGGTTTTTTTATCGTCGTCGTATCCAGAAAGACGATAGAAAAAGAGAGGTTAAAACCTTAGAATCAGCAGTCGGGACATGCTTGAAAGTACGACGACAATTGAGACGCCCAGGGACGATCAAGAAGAAGCGTATTTAACTCAACGTCAATCGACAATGGACTCGGCAACACTTGATAAGCTTATGAAGGCTGAAAAAAACCTCACACAAGCAGGACAAGCGACATCAAATGTCTGGAAACTTATTGGCAAATTACCAAGTGACGAGAGCGAGTCTTCACCACCTCCAGCGCCAGCGTCAGCTGGACACGTAAATCCGACAAGTGGTTCATTAACCCATCAAAATTCTAGGTCAACAGTCAATTATTCGGCCTCTCAGAACATTGTTACGAGTCCACGACGTCTCTCGAGGACGCCCACACGTCGAAAAATCTCGACACAGGCTTCGGACGATATTTCCAGTGGTAGATTGTTGTCTTCTGGATCACAGAGTCCTTTAGATGGAGGTAATAAGGGATGGACAGCATCAGGTTCATCAGGTTCAAGAGAGTTGATGGTTGATACGACGACGGAAAGTTCAACGATGGATGCAGCTAGATCAAGTCCTCGGTATAATATGGAGGTTCCACGCCCTGAAGTGGCTATAGGAAGAAGCTCATTAGGCAGTTATACTGGTCAGACACAGAGCAACAGCTTGTATGAACGATCGTCACACTTTGGAACATCCTGTAGTTCCCGTCCAGTTGATACTATGAGTGATCAGCCAAATTACTTGGTCGAGAATGGACGTAGCCGATCTACACATAATAGCAATGTCTTTGGTTTCAACCGTGATGCAGCGCCGTTATCAGAAGTGACGCTGTTTACGTTCACTGTCAAAAAGAGTGACAGTGTGTTGGAGAAACTTGGCAGTAAGCGAGCGAGTATTCAATTACAGGTGGACGTGGAAGAGCGCATGCTTTACTTCTTATCGGCGCATGACCAACGAGAAGAGTACAGCTGTGCTGCAGTGACGGCCAAGCCGCAGTCGAGACTTGGCATGCAACTGAAGATTCAGACGGGCAATGCCAGTGTAAACAAGAAGATTACATTCTACAGCACGGAAGACCGTGCAAACTTTGTTCAGGCGCTGGAACAGGGAAAAGTCATGTACACTAAGAAGACTGCGCCTGCAGTGCCGCCGTCTCGAGTACCTACGGAGGTTATTGATGAAACAGCATCTACAGTATCTGGTACTTTCGAACGCTCAAAGCTTCGTGAATCGATAGTGAGTGACCACTTCCGGCTGCAACCGGGCGAATCAGTGCTGGAACACGTGCAACGTGTGACCAACTTGGTGGTGATGTCACAAAGCGACCGAGCAGTGCAAGGTGTGCTGAAAATAACATCGTACCGTATCACATTCGTGCCATACGATGCATCATGGAAGTTTGGCTCGTTTGAACTTCCACTTGCAGCGATTGACCTGATCACGCGCGACGGTCTCATGCTTCTCATCACCTGCAAAGACTTGCGTACGTTGCGGCTTGCTATGCACGACGCGTACTCGCGGAAGAAAGGATACGACCAGTTGCCGTCCACACCGGACTTTCGGTGGCTTAATTTGCTAACACTGCGCATGAAACCCCCTAACATGATCGGTGCGCTTTTTGCTTTTGACTACCACACGGAAAAGGTGAAGCAACGAGGAGCCCCACTTCCTGAGAAGCATAACGGTTGGTTCGTGTACTCCCCATTTGCCGAGTACCAGCGCCTTGGTTTTCTGTCGGCTAAGAGACATCTCGAAGAGGAGGGTGTGATCACGTGGCGTCTTCTCAAAAATTCCAAGTTCCGTTTTAGTCCCACATACCCTCAACTTATGGTGGTGCCGTCGCTTATGTCGGAAGAGCAGCTAGTACAGTCAGCACGCTTCCGGTCTCGCGCACGCCTGCCTGTGGTTGTGTGGCGCCATCCTGTGAACAAAAGCGTGCTATCTCGCTCGAGCCAGCCTAATTACGGCATGGCAGGCAATCGCTCTGAGCCTGACCGGATACTTCTGCGCGCGTACCGTGACTCAGCCAATAAGAATAGTTCCAACATGTCACCCCCTCTTCACATCATCGACGCGCGAAAGCCCATCGCCACCAAGGGTAACCGGTTAAAGGGCAAAGGTACGCCACGAAGGCAGTAACTTTGTATAAACGATGTTAACGCAATATGTTGTGTTGTTGCTGCAGGTGTTGAGAACTCACAGCATTACGACAACGCGACCATTGAGTTTATGGGGATCGCCAACATTCACAAAATGCGCGAGTCTTTAGATGCGCTAAAGGGTAAGTTAGATTGTGTCGCAAGTATTTTGATATGCTGACAGCTAACTTCATTGTCTATGTGCTTGCAATAATGCAGCTTTGGTCAGCCCTAGTAGCGTTGAAGACGGTGACAAGCACTACCACAACCGCCTTGAGAGTAAAGCCATTTTTTGTGAAACATTTTGGTGTTGCAAAACCTGACGTTGTGCTATTTTTTCACTTTTGCAGACACTCGGTGGCTAAAGCACGTGATGCGGGTGTTGTCGGGTGCCCGCAGGGTAGCAGAGGTGCTCCACGAAGATGGCGCCTCGGTGCTGGTGCACTGTAGTGACGGCTGGGATCGGACTCCGCAACTCGTGGCTCTAGCTCAACTTATCCTAGACCCCTTCTATCGATCCCTCCGCGGTTTTGCGAGTCTTGTCGAAAAAGAGTGGTGTTCGTTTGGGCACAAGTTTGCGGACCGGATTGGAGTGGGCAAGGACATCACTGATCAGCCGAACGAGCGGTCGCCGGTAATGTTGCAGTTTCTGGATTGTGTGTGGCAGATGACGCGGCAGTTCCCGACGTGCTTTGAGTTTAACGAGAATTTTTTGCTGCATATCTCGGACTCGCTGATCTCCGGCTTGTATGGCACATTTTTGTACAACTCGGAGCGCGAGCGCGTGCTGGATAAGGTATGGGAGCGCACGGAGTCCGTGTGGACGCCTGTGTTGGAAAATCCGGGACCTTACAAGAATCCCTTGTATCGACCAACAAATCGTGTGCTATACCCTCGGGCGAACTTGAAGCGTGTCGTGCTGTGGGACGGTATGTTCTTCCGATGGGACCCTGAGAGCCATCCAGACTACATGGAATACATGGACCTTGCGGAGAAGCAAGACGATGAGGGTTCGACACATGATATGGATGAAACTGGCAGTTCTGGAGGCGCTAGTGAACTCGAGCCTCCATCGGTAATGCCTATTGGGGGCGATCTTGAAGACAAGGCAGAATTGGAAATTGATGTTATTCACGACTTTGACAAGTTCCGGGCAAAATCGCTATCGGACTGCTCGGACATGAGTGACGACGACGACTTTGAGATCTCGCCCAGTGTGAAGGCGCGATACGATGGCTCATCGACATTGACACCGGATGAGCTGAACATGACGACGCCAGCGACTAGCGAAGCCGACTCGGAGAGTTCTGCGTCCGCTGAGAACCGTCTCCCAGTGGACGAGGGTGTGTTGAACCGATATCATTGTGGAGTCGAGGAGCGCACGCGCCAGCGCGCACAGGGGCGAAATATACGTGAAGCGTTGTTGTTGGCACCCGATCAGAGTCGTATCAAGTACTTGGAGCAGCTGCTCAGCGAGAGTGTCGCGCGTGAATTGCAGCTTGAGGCAGAGCTGGATTCGGTACTTCACTGTGGCCCGCGGGTCTCAAGCATCGCCTCCACTGGTAATGTCAATGGCATCGCCTCAAACGGCAGTAATGAGAATGGTTCTATCCATTCTTCAGCCGGTGGTCGCTAGGAGCAGTGAGAGTGAGGGATGCTTTGGCTGCTGTCTTCTGCCTCCCTCGCACAGTACTGCTATTGGCCAGGTTTTATTTTGCTCCTGCTTAGTGAGTTTGCGTGTTTTGGAGCGTTTAGTTGGAGCTGCATGCAGGACACGCCACAGCATAGATTCGTAGTATAATATAGTCGGTGGCACTTCGGTCTTAGATTTTGTGTCACCCGTCGCTGGTTTATCGATTGCTGAGACTTTCGAGATTCGAAATGAGTGGTGACGAGGCAATGAGAGCGATCATGGGCTTCACGTCGTTTGGTCAGCGTCATCGCGATCAGATCCGCACAAAAAAGCAGGATGCAAGCAAGAAGATTAATGTGCAAGTACTTCCACAACTGATGCCAGGAACGGAGCTTGTTGGAAAGTGTGCAGGATGTTCAATGGAAAGTGTCGAAGATGGTCCTGATGGTGTAGTATTTCTTTTGTGCAAGGAGACTGGGTCTGATGAAAACGATTTACTTGAGGCTGCGCTGGATGAGGAAGTCAAGATGAACATTGAAATGGATAATGGAGAAGAGCTGACAGTGCCGAACTCGACGATACTGGAAGAACTCGAACAGGAAAAATGTAAGTTTGACAAGTTAAAGAGCTCGCAGTTTGTAAGTGCTCGCTCTGCGACAAACGTTTTCGAGACTTTGGGGAGACATCGGTTCTTGAATCGCTCCGCTATGAAGCTGGTGACGTTGGATCATATTTTTCAGTGGACACGGGGCTTCAGGCAACGCCAAGTATCATTCAGTTTTGCTGACATTTGTGGCGGACCAGGAGGGTTCTCTGAGTATTTGTTGTGGAGAGCCGGTAGTGTTACGAATGGTGAAGACGAATACGAACAATGTGTTCGTGGCTATGGAATGACATTAAGGAAAGCAGCAAACAACTGTGACTGGCGTCTACCCTCGGAGTTCCACGATATGTTCAAGATCTGCTACGGTGAGGACGGTACGGGTGATCTTTATTCACTTGCAAATATCCACTGCTTCCGTGATGTTGTGCGAGCACGACATCCTATCGGTGTAGATTTGGTTGTAGCTGATGGAGGGTTTCTAGATGCTCGGTCGCAATCCAACCAGGTCAGGGACACGGACGATGGATGTCTCTTGAAGAGCAAGACTAATCAATTGTACGACTTTTTTCTTACAGGAATCGCTAATGACCAGGCTGATCCTAGCAGAGGTGCTCGCCATGTTGTCTGTGCTACGCGTTGGTGGAGATTTCGTCTGCAAGACATTCGAGTTGACAACGCCTGCAATGTTGCAACTTTGTTGGTTGCTGCATCGTTGTTTTGGGCGCTTTGCAGTCGTGAAACCTATCGTAGGTTGTTCACATCGTACGGAGCTAGATACCATACTCACGCGTGTATCATATGTGCGCAGACTAGTCGTCCCGCGAGTTCGGAACGGTACATTGTTGCGCGTGGCCTACGAGCAAACCGCTTCATACCAAGACTGGTAACAATTCTAGAAGACCGACTCGTTCAGTGCAGCTGCAACGACGCTAGTGAGAAAAACCAGCTTTCTTTCTTGCCGAATGGCATCCCCATGCGCGAAGACATCGACTTCCACAAGTATATGACTGCGTCTAATGATGCTATCGCGACGAGCCAAATCCAAGCGTGCCGACGTATCAACGAGTGTTTTGCCAACAGAAACAAGAGGTTGGTCGTTTGGGTTTGCTTTGCTTCTTGCCTTCAGCTTTGCTCATACGTATGTGGCACAGGAAATCGTGCGATGCTGATGCAAAGATCGATCCCAGACAGTACTACCAATGCTGGCAACTCGACACGAATGCTCGCCGAGACGGTGCCCGATAAACCATGTAAGCTTCTGCATTTTTTACTGCGATACCTTTTGCAATATCTGCTGAAAGAGATCGTTGGCACCTTCGATTGAATACACTCCAACGCAACTCACGCGCACGCTCTTTTGTAGACTCCGCCCTAGCTTTCGCCTGTAACGCACATCATTGACGATTACCCAGTTAATTCAGCATAGCGTATTGAACTGCAGATCCGAGTCGAACCTATTCATTGGCGTGAGTATGGGCACCTCCTGCTCCGTTGCTACTGATACTAGCTCCGCACATTGTTCTTTTACAGCTTTGCATCCATCTAGGTCTGTTGCCATGACAAGCAAAACTAGTTTGCGGCGGAGAAGACCTCGTCGTACTTCGTGCAATCCGAGTACTAAACGCCGTGACCGTTTGTCATGTCGTGGGTTCTGCGTGTGCGCGCGATCCTAATAGATGCAACCTGTTTGGTTAGTACCAACAACGATAAAGTGCCCAAGCACCATGAGTTTTCCACCATTCTGCTCACCTGAAGAGCAGCAAGCCGCTTCAAGAAACCACCAACAAGATTTTGCAACTCCAGCGATTCTGTCGACTGCAGCAAGTTGACAACCAGAATGTCAGGTAGCAGTGTGGTATATCCTACAAGCAAAGAAAAGTGTTTGTACCTGAGTGATAGGAGCTGCAACGCAGTTCGTTTCAACGACATGCGGTGGATCATTCACACATTGGATGTTTTCAGCTTCCTCCTTCTTCTGGAGCACAAGACTTGCTGTCAATAGACGACCACCATATCGTGATCCATTCATCAGGTGCATGGCTTTCTTAGCGACTTGTTCATCAACGAAAGTCACTGTGATATCCCCTGTCGTCTCACTGATAAACATCGTTTCTACTTGTCCGTACTTGCAAAACAATTGCATCATTTCCTCGTTCACCTCAACTAGTTCATCAGGGTCTTGTAACTCTTCCAACATCAGGATCCCGCATATTCTCACAGTCATGTTTTCTCGCTTCTCGTCGTCACTCTGCATCTTCCATTGACACATCACCTTCTTCTCACCAATCAAAACTCCATTGTATGAACTAAAGGCTGATGCAGCATCATTTGCATGACAAAACGTAACAACCACGTCCCCAATTGCAAACCCATTTCGATCGTCCTCTTCTCGAATCATTGCAATACTTTGCAATTGTCCAAATCGTGAAAACTCGGCTCGAAGTTTGCTCTGAATGTCCTCAACTTCTTGTTCATCGTTCCACTCATCAACTGTCACGAGGTCTTGAACTCGAAATTTGCATTTCGGAACCACTTGACATTGCAGACTTGAGCTTTTGAGCTTGGACTTGCGTTTGGATCGTGGTTTTGATGAAGTTGGAATGACTGGAGCTGGAGGAATTGTAGGAGACAAACCTGGCACGGAGTGCAATCGTTTTTTGCGTCTCCTACGCGAGGTTTTTGAGAAGTTTACTGATGGTTTTGCTTGAATTGCAGCTTGAACGAATGGCTCGAGATTCATGGCTGAAAACACTAAAGATGCCACAGAGCTACGCATCAAACTCAAGTCTGGTAGGTCACACTGGTTTCTCGATAGTTCGGTTTCAATTGGCATTGAATGGCTCATTGATACAATCTTGCTGCAGGTCTACTTTTCTGTCAAGATGATTGATCAAGGGTTCGACCAGCGAGGTGTTAGAACCCGTATGGATAGAGAAACACTAGATGGCTGTCTAGCTTATCTACTGCAGGTGTGACCCCAATGACTTGATTACTTGCTTGCAAGCTGTCGAAATTGCGTCGAGGCCTTCACTTGCCGCGTTTTCCGAAAGCTGTAAAACAGTGGCATATATCACGTCTACATCAACCGTAGCTCGAAGAGTCTTGATGCTCAAGAGCGCCTCCAACAGTTCGAGCGTGACTACGACAAGATCGACGTCCTCTTCATAGAGTGGCCATCGAGTGAGCGGCTCATGCAAATTCTGCTTGACCGTGTCTGGGTTTGCCATGCACAACGACACGACATGAAGGAGCAACTTGCGCTCAGCACGGATCAATCCGCACAGAATCATGAAAGAGTGCACGTTCTCCGAAGACACAACCGGGTCTAGTAGAAACTTAATAAAGTCACTGATCCAAGAGTGGTTTTCCACCTGCGTATTGATCAAGAATCGAAACATGAGCATGCCACCCTCACAACAATGCAAAAAAAATAGTGATCTATATCAGCACGTACCCGGAAGTTGTCACTCTCGGCACATCCAACCAGTACTGTTGCCACAGCTTCGGTGCGAAGTCGCAAATACTTTCCCCACTGAGACCCGTCAAGCATTGAGGGAAGTAAAGGGAGCACTAGCTCATCTGCTAGCGAGTGAATATCCTCACGGCAGGCCGCTGCTATACGAGTGAGACCTGATACGATACGGTTTGCTGTAGACTTGGAATACCGATCCAGCTGATTGATAGCCTGGCAAAGCGTCACAACAGCAAGTTGTCGACCCAGTTCATACTCTTTCCTAGCCTCCGGAACAGTAGACTTACGAAGAACAGCCAGCACGTCACCGTACACACGTGGATCAGCAAGAGTACCAGCTACATTGTGCAAGAAGTCCACCTGTGATGAAAGCAACTTGGCGGTATCTGGGTGATGGAGCCAAGAAAGAAAAGCCTCCACAAGCATCTCTCGGATTGCTGAGCATGCTACCTTCACGTTACGTCGCTCAGGTGAGTTTTTCTTGGGGAAGAGAGTTAGTGCGACCTGTGTAGTCAATACGGCCAAGCAAGTTAGTCAATGCTCCTATGGATGACTGAGGTCTTCTATGGCAAGTCTGTGGCTTACCTCTAGCCGGGGCACCACGGTACTCATTGCTTTGAAAGTATCTTCAAGCGTGGACGCAGCAAGTTTTCGCTGAAATAGGCAGATGTCTCGGATAGACTCGAGCAGAGCAGTGCAAAAGTCGAAATCAGGAAGTGCAGTCAGTTTTGTGTCGTTCAACCTTGCAGATCCGAAAACGAAACAAGTCAACAAACGGAAGAAGAACAAACATCGTACCATACCCCATCCTACGTACGCTTTTGTCATCGTGTCAAGAGGTGTTGTGAGTGAAATCGATCCTGTCGCTATGCTCTCTGCCCCAGCGTCGCTTGCAATCGCTCGGTACATAACACCAAGTGCTTGTGCTGCCACCATTCTTCGAGTATCTACTTCCAGCCAAGAGCAGAGTACCTTACAGCATTCCTCTTTCATCTGCTTCGTAACGAACGTAGCCGACGGCTTTTCCTCTTCCTCGTCAACAGTTTCCATTCGATCAGAAATGGTCTCTGTTGCTAAAGGAAACATCGAGTTGCTAGCCGATACCTTGGATTCATCTGCTTCTATTTCTTCAACAAAGTCAGGTAGTGCCAGTAGCGCAAACGTGTTTGGAGACGTGTACGGGTACATGGTTTCCAAAAGCACCGCAGCGGTCGTAGCTAACTCTACCTTAACTACCTCTGCCACCACTATCTCGTGTTTGACTGCATCTACCATCGTCAGTAGTTCTAAAAGTTGTGGTAGAACCTACATCCCATCCAAATCATCGACAGCGATAAGACTCACCGTTTTGGCTAGAAAAAATCATAGCATAATGTACCTCAGTAAAGATAGCTTCTTGAACTGTAAGATGCGTCTGCAATGCCACAGCCACATATTCGCACGCCGGACGCAACAACGTATTGAACCGCTGTGCGATCTCTTCATGTTGAATACTCTCCTCCTTAAACAGTCCAAACAACCATCTCAGCTGTTTCAGCACGTCTCCAGTTGGCACTTGGTTACCAAAAGACTCAAGTACTCGTGTCAACCCCATTAAAGCGACAGTTTTCAGTCCATAATAGCTCTTGTGTGTCCATACGGGATACTGCAGCACCTTTTGAAAAGCATCACGATATCGTTGCAACAATGGTAGCATTACTTGTCTCTCTGTTACATACCGAACCGTCTAATCAAAAGAACACCAAGAAACAATAACAAGAAAAACAAAAACCCATCAACAAGTGTTACATCCATATAGCAATAGCAAGAGGAGAAGAGAGAGCGATTGAATGCCACGTACCAATGACGCAGCGGACAAAAGTGTCCCGAGCTCCAATTCCTTGTCATCATTTAGTGCTTGTGAATGTACTTGAAAAGGTAAAAATTCTTCCATCGCCGCCTCTAATTCCTCAATAACTTGCAACAGGAAAACAAAAGTAGCCTCGACTCCAATGCTTGTGGAATGCACGCATTCCTGTATATAAACTAATATGAACGAGATCAAGACAATGAATTGTTTGTATTTATGGACGAAGAGATGAGAAAACAAACCGGCAAGACTTTTAGATGGAGAATGTAGTAGAATACGGGCGAGATCACGCTGCATGTGACGTGGTGAACAAGTGTCGGAATGCGTGGTAGCCATCTCATCAACTGTCACGGTGGCCACGTACTGACAATACAAAGAACAAGTCTGAAGAGAGTAGTACAGTACAGGACAGAATGGTTGCTCCAATTCTACTCGCCAGCGTGTCAGGAGGCATTACAGATTCAATATCAAAGATGTGTCGCAAAAACCGCCCTTGTACAAAAATAGAGACGTATGATGACACAAAAAGCAGCACCAATGATGTCGTTTTTCGAAATAAGACCCATATAGTGGACCTTGATTCGATCTTTTTGTCGTACGGCGACGCTTTTCCTGTACCACTATAGGATTGGAACGAATCATTCCATTTTAAAAAGTCTCTTTTTGCAGAATCAGATGATCTCCATCATGATGAAAAGTTTCTAAACCTGATGAAATGATTGGTACTTCATCGTCTATCCCGTGCTAATCGGACATGGTCTTCAAGTACAAAAGGACAGTGAGACAGTACCTCTTTCTCAGGGCGTTCTCTTTTTTAAACAGGTCAATCAGAGTCCAATCTAGAATCAACATGTACAGAATTCAAGGCCTTGCTTTGTCTGCCATGCATCTCTTCTGGGGCTCAATCTGTCGCTGTACATGTATCACTTTGCATTCAAATTCTATAGTTTTGTGAGTATTTGGGTAGTGAAAACGTCAAGAAAGCACCTCATCTTTTCTGTAAAGATGACAATAGATAGTAAACAACTACTTATCTCTAGTAAATAAAGACACTATCGATCTCTACGTACCATCATATCGATCGATCGATCGATCAATCTCTATGTACCATCTTCCTGATAAAATTCTTTTGCAAATCGGCTCCTTAAAGCTCGACTACTGTACAGAAACGACTGCAATTTGTAAGAAGAATGGGAAAAATGGAATGACCTTCATGTCTCGACGCAGCAGTAGCAAATAGAAGGGTTGTTTGCTTTCCCACAACCGAATTAAGAAGCTTATCGAACAGTCAAACGGAGAAACAACATGACATTGGGTGTCAAAAGTGAGAAAGATGGCGCATCGTACGACGATACGGACGCACTTCGAATTTGTGTCGAGGTCACGTCGGGACTTGACCACAATTCTTTTGAGACCAATGACAGCCATGACTTTGTCTCGTCGGAACGAAGTGGTAAGCGACCTCGGCGTGAAGAAGCCGCATTGTTCTTGGAAAAGACGTACGAGCTACTGAGTCGCTGTCCACCGGAACTGGCGAGCTGGACAACAAACGGGGACAGTTTTGTGGTGAAACAACCGGTGGCTTTTGCCGAGCGCGTGATCCCCACGTACTTTAAACACCGCAACTTTAGCTCGTTTGTCCGACAATTGAACTTGTATGGATTCCGAAAAGTGCGTTCGGCATCTCCAGTGCTCGAGTCTGGAGCTGAACCGGAAGGTATGGAGGATTCGAGTCCTAGAGGCTGGTGGGAGTTTCGTCATGAACGCTTTGTGCGAGGAAGAAGAGATTTGTTGGGGGAGATTCGAAGGCGTTCAGCTACTGACGCCAAGGTCTCGGCTCCTCCTGGCACTCCAGTGGATCGTGTCGAGTTTGATGAATTGAGAGCGGAAGTGGGAGGACTGCGTGAGGAGATTCTCAAGATGCAGAGGACCAACCTGCAGCTAACGGGGCTGTTGCAGACCGTACTGCAACGTTGCAGTGGAGCGGAGAATGAGGGGGAGACAAGCAGGAACCGATTTGAGTTCGCTCAAACTACTGGCTATACCGACTCTCCTCCTGTAGCACAGGGTCGACCCAGATCCCTGCCCTCGATAGCTGTACCCAGTCCAACAGCTAGTACAAGTGTCACAGCACCGCAACTAGCCTTGCTGCAGCTACGTCAAGGACATCAAGCAATTGGTACACCGCGTGACATCAAGACACCTCGGACTCCGGCCTCGAGGTCTTTTCATTTACGACCGGTGCACTCGCTAATGGCGAATGTAAGGCCAAGTATTCGATCGAGTCCGAGCCCGAGTCCGAGATCCAACCATAATTATGAGACCACTCCTTCGTATAGTCAGCAACAGCAGGAACAGCTCAACAGGAACCAGCGGCGATGGTACGAAGCCACCCCGTGCAGTCAACCATCTCCGACAACCGTTCGCTCACCGCTTAAGCGACTTCGCGTAGACTCAGCTACTTCTATTACAGACCCTCAAGCAGGTCTCGATACTCACTCTACCGGAGATGTAGCGGTTCGTGAACTAAGCCGCATCGCTACAGAGATCCGCACCGACCTGCTAGCCTGCATCATTGCGCGAGTTACAGGCTTTTTACGCGTCTATCGTGACCAGAGCGGGCCAACAAGTGAAGCTGATGCTGACGCAGTAGGAGAAGCTGTGGGATCCGACATTCGTCTGAATCTTGCGCTGCTAAAGGTCTCAACGTCTGCGGATCCGATGCTGCTTGATGTGAAGACAACTTGCATGTATCGTGTAGAGATTCTCAAGTTCATCTCCCGCGAATTACCGCGTGCTGTTCAGGATGCCATATACAGTAGGCTGCTAGCACCGGAAAAACTAAAACTGCACACAGCAAAAGACCGATCTCTGGTGGCCTTGTTCGTGCAAAAGGCACAGAAAGCTCTCGAACGTCAAATGCACACGGAAACTGCTGCCGTAAGAAGAGCACGTCGATGAAGAAGTAATGTTGTGTTTAGAGCTTACGTGAAGGCAAGAGTACTTTTGCGTCTAGTTACAACAGTAGTTTGGAAAGCGATGTGTCATCTTGTAGAGCCCCCGATATTTCTGTCATTGTTACGCAGGAGTAGAGCTTGGTCGACCAAAAAGCGCGTGTCGACATCACTGCGGCAGGTCGCAAAGTTTTCTCACCACGCTTACCGCCTCCCTGTCTTATCAGAGCGTAGCAGCCTAGTGACATCAAAAGCGTTTGCAGTTCGTCTCGCGATAAGCGCGGGACCCAAGCAGTCTGCGGCAAGTCACGTAAACGCGCTAGCTCCTCGCTGACTTTATGCATATCACACGGCTGCAGCATTCCCTTGGTATTGTTCTTGTCATCGCTTCCATTGGAGCTCGGAGATAGAGCGGTGATCACGTACAATAGCAATTTAGCTTGTCGTGGCAACTGCTTCAGTTTCTGAATAACCGGGGATGACAGCATTGATGCCACACACTGGAACACGTCGCGCATTGTGACTTTTACTTGAGTCGAAGCTGCTGAGATTGTCTCTGAGCTACTGAAGCGTTGAAGTGCATGACGGGCTGATTGCTGCAATAAACTGATGGCTAAACGAGCATCACCATCACGGGCTGCTACCTTTCTGGCAATGAACTCCAGTGCTCGCGGCTCAATCAAACTGGACACTTCACTACTCTCCATCTTTGACGATCGTGCGCTCTGCACATAACTCTTCATGATCAGCAGTAAGTTCTGGTGTGAATAGGACCCAAAGATCACACGAGGAACGTGCGAATCAATCGCGCTATCACGAGTTACATGAATCCGTGAAACCTGATGATACATGTCGACACCGTTCATAATGCCTAGAAACATGACATTATGAGGTACAGCAGCAGCCCATCGCACGAAAAAGCAGAGGACTTCCTTCACCGTTGGCTGCATGCGAACAGAAAGACGCAGCAATTGATCCACTTCGTCGAACACGACCACAAGCATCTGCTTGGTATGTCTCGAACCACAACGTTGCAAAGCAAGAAACTCGTCCATTTCAAATGGATCAAGTTTCTCCGGTACTTCCCAATTTGTTGCTTTCTTGACTTGCTGCGCCACGGCAGCATACAAAGCTACAGGGTCCATGAATGTACTGCAATTAAGCTTCACGGCCACTTTGATGCTTGTCTTGGCTTGATTGTGCTTCAATGTTGTTACATCATTTCCTACGACTTCAAAACCTTGTTCCAGCAGTAACTCACTCACGGACGAACTCTTGCCTGTTCCAGGCGGACCAATGATAAAGAGACTTCCATTCTGCCTTTCACTTCCCTGCAGCACTTCACGAACAATCTGATGCTCCTTTTCACGTCCAACAATTAATGAAGGAGCATGAAGCTTTTGCCCTGAGCAAATCCGCTGCAGTATCGATTGAAAGTCTTCCACTGGCTCTGGACGGGTTGAAGACGTATATTGAAGCGTACGTCTCAGTGTCACGCGCTTGACAACGTTCGACTTTATTTTGGAGCTTTTCTCGGAAGTTTCAACGACATTGAGCGTCGAGGTACGAGGTTTAGGAAACTGAGGCGTTAGAGAAGAACAAAGGGCGTTTGTCTTGCGTTTCTTAGGAGTTGGAAGATTTATCGGGGCGTCTACATTGCATGTATCTAAAGCTACCATCTTAGTTTTTTCTTTCTCGAGAGCATATAGACGATCTTGCAATTGCTTCACTAGTTCTGGCATTTGTTTGCGTTTCTGAGCTCGTGTTTGCATGGTAGAGGAAAATGGAGAAAGAAGAACGACACGTAATGGAGATACTTTTAATGAATGGTGTGGTGTATGAGGGGGGGGGGGGGTATTAATCGACATCGAAGCAAATCAGACTGGCATTTCTTCGATGTCCTATCAGTCTCTATGGTAGTGACAAGGTTGACTATCGCTACACAAGGTCAATAATTGTAGTCGCTCAATGCGTGACGTCAGGAACGGGTGTGATGTATCGCCGAGGTAGTTGCCACGCTTTGTGATCATTCGTGTCTTGTACAATGATCGCATTTCACAATTGCGGATCAGCTTTCGTTGAAAAAAATAAATGCCACCACATGCAAATCCATTTGCAGCAGCGACCTGATCCGCTTCATGTTCCAAGCTCCATGAGAGATACAAATGACTACCAATGATGCTTAACATACTGACAATACTGGCGATCAATTTGTTTGGGATCTTGTTGATAGCCACGTAGCTGCCAATAAGCGACGCTGGTAAGAAAGCTGCAGTGTACATGGAGTGGTTCTTGGCAATATGAGCGCTTTCGTGCGCTAAAACAAAGTCAATCTCGTGTCGCTTTGCCATGTCGTACTTTTTGTACAGGTGTGATGGTGCGTAGAAGGCATCATAGAGCTCCATAGGCACTACAATGCAGGCTCCACGCTCACGAATAGTAAGATTGGTCCCCATAGACGCACCAGCAGACTGCATGCCAACGCGGATAGATATCCGTTCCGGATTCTTCACGCCCACACGTGCAGCAATATTCCGCACGTTCATGGCAAAAAGGTCTTTCTCGCCAAGTTCATGGGCATCAAGACCTTGTGCCAGTCGTAGCGAGCGTGTACTTGTCGGCTTTACGATCGGATATAACGCGTATCCGTACAGCAGTAGTGCTGATGCGCCGACGAATCGTTTCGAGTACAGACCTACTGACATGAGTTTGATTGTCACGTTGGTGGCTTGTTTTCGAGTGAGCTCCACTACATTGGAAACTTGTGGTGGTGACAAACGAGACGTGATTGTCTCTACCTCTACTTTGTTTACCTCCTCTATTTCGTCCGACGGGATCAAGTGTCAAGTGGCGTAGTAATTGTACTCAGATGCTTATGCACACCATATGTGTTGTGTTGGTGAGCGCGTCCTCATTGAAATCAGATCCATCAGTTCCTGGGAAGAGCATAAATCCATCTGCACGATACTTGATGAAGCACATGATCACTGACGGCTCACTTTTGAGCTTCAGACAGTCAGACATAGCCATTTCGATGTTCTGCATTAGAATATCGATATCGTAGCGCTATCATTGTCTTCTAAGGCTACTCGTCGGTGTGGCGTAAGTCCATCTTACCTTTTTTTGCAGTACGAACAATGCTTGTTGACCACGTAGTCTGGTGAAGATTGTTCCTCTTTAGTCAATGGATTGCGGCAGATAAAGCAGCATACAACTGCTGCTTCGGTGAGATCTGGCTTAAGAGCCACACGGTCGTCGAAGATAAAGCAGTCGCCCTTGAAGTGTGCGCCTCCCACCTTTTCAAAGTACTTGAGAATACCTCCATCTAGCTGGTAAACCTCCTTGTGGCCTTCATTTAACAATGCATACGACGCCTTCTCACATCGCACACCGCCAGTGCAAAACATCACGACAGGTTTCTCCTTAGGTACCTGTTGTAGTTGCGTCCGAGCTTGGTCAGGAAACGCACGGAAGGTTTTAATGTCCAGGTCCACTGCATCTTTAAACGTGCCTAAGCGAACCTCGTAGTCATTTCTGTGACAGGAATCAAAGCTCACAACTGTCATTCTCACATTACTACAAGCACGACTGTTGCTCTTCCGACGCACCTGGTGTCCAAAATCAGCATGTCTTTGCCGTCATCGATCCATGTTTTGAACTCTTCCGCGGAAATGTGTGCTGCTAGTCCATCCACTGCAGGATTAACCTTTGTCAGTCCCATTGAAATCACCTCTTTCTTGATCCTCACAAGCATCCTCGGCAACGTCATACGCTCAGAATATGAATCCTTAAACTCAAGTCCACACATTTCAGATGAAAGACCAACGATTGCAACTTTCATGGCCTCGACGGCCTCTAAAGTTCCAGAGAGACGAACATTCACTCCTTCCGTTGACAACAGAATTGTTCCACGAAGCTGATCCATTCCAAAAGCTGCTGCTACTTCCAAGAGGTGTGACTTTAGATCTGGTAATCGTTCTGCTAGGAACACACAGAAACCATAGGCCGATGAGTTGATATACGTGGTCTCCAATCGTGTCGACATTATTCCAAATCGCTTTGTTTTAGCAATGTACCTCTTTTGTCAGAGAGGGTGCATACGTGTAGCCAATTGACACTCGAAAGTTGTAGAGGATCACGAATTACGTCAGTGATGTGTGTGTCGTGAAAAGGACAACTTGCATGGACAGTGTTCTTCGAATGATCTAGATTGTGTGATCAGTTTATGAAGGGTTTATACATTTACTTTCGTTGTAGTTTAACTCTTAATACTACTTTTCATTTGGCAGCACAGTGAAGTAGTTGAGCTATCGTTACAAAAGTCTCAGCTAATCAAGTCTCAACGAAGATCTCAGTTAATCAAGTCGCAGCGAAGGTCTCAGTTAATGAGTCTCTGGATGGAGACACCGAGTGTAGTCGTGGATGAAAAACGCCTGTTGCAAAATATCGATCGGATGCAGGAACTAGCGATATTGAATCATGTGAATCTTCGCCCTCATGTTAAGACTCACAAGACACGAGAGATTGCGACGATGCAATTGGCAGCTGGAGCTTGTGGTCTCACAGTCTCAAAACCATCCGAAGCACTGCAGTTTCTACGAGGTAAAGTTCCAGGACTTACAAGTTTAACGCTCGCGTATCCCGTGGTGCAATGTAAGAAGATCCAAGAGGTGCTACAGGCAGCACAGGAGGTCGACGTCGAGTTTTTGCTGACGGTCGACAGCTCCGAGGGCGTTGACGCTGCACAGAAGGCGGCCGAAACTACTTGCTGCATTTTGAAGCTGCTGATCCATGTTGACGTTGGATACCATCGAGTAGGCATTGAAGCCGATGATCCAAAGCTGCTCCAGCTAGCCCAGCGCATTAACGCGTCAAGTAGTCTGGAATTCTGTGGACTGCTATCTCATGCAGGCCAGGCGTACCGTTGCAAGTCGGTAGTGGAATGTACCGAGGTGGCGGAGACGGAGAGAATGATGATGGTTCGTATTAAGAACATGCTGGAGGCGAATCGAATTGCGGTGCCCGTGGTGTCTGTGGGCAGTACTCTAACGGAGCCAGCGCGTACGGACTTTACTGGAATTAGCGAGATCCGCCCTGGCAATTACGTATTCCTCGATCGTACACCTGTGCGAATGGGACTGTTTTCAATGCAGGATGTCGCGCTGACCGTTCTTGCGACGGTGGTCAGCTCGAACAAGTACAATTTCATCGTTGACGCTGGTTCAAAGGTGTTGAGCTCAGATGGAGCACGATCGGATGGAGGATTCGGATCGACATGTTATGGTCTTGCTTTTTACCACAAGGATTTCGATCGCGTTGTGAAAGAACCTACCCAAAACAAGACAGTACTAGAGGATGGTCAAGAGCTCATTTGCTTCGAGGTGACGAGCTTGTCAGAAGAACACGGCTGGGTAAAGAAGATTGAGGGCATTCCTTCGCCTGCCATCGGCGAACGCCTCGTCATTGTGCCGAATCATTCGTGCGTCGTGTCAAACCTTACCGACTCGTTTTACATCCAGGGTAAAGAGCCAAAGAGCTGGACGCTACTGTCGCGTGGATGCACGATGTAGATTTAAGCGTGTTAGTACGTATCGCTACTAAGTCTAAAACCACGGCAATTGGAGGTTTTGGACAAACTTGCGGTTGTCTACGTCTTCCATCCATCGCATCAACTCCTTCTTCGTTTGCGGCAACTTGCTGTTCTTGCCGCCGTCTTTAGCTCGGAATCTTCCAAGCATCTGGGTTATTGCAGTCTCAATCACTTGCGACTCTGCTTTGTGCATTGCCATGTACTGGCCAAATGCTTCAGTGTGCAAATGGGATTCCTGTAGCGATTGCGCCCACTCTTTCTCATAAATTATCTTGAGGAGATGTCTACGAAACGGAGAGCGGAGGACCTTCGTGACCATAGACCTCAATGGTGCACTTTCCTCACATGATGCTCGATTCATAGCATTATCCATGCTCTGATAAAAGACATTACGTCCATCTTTCGCACTTTGTTGCGGTGAATGGTACATCCACGTGGTAAGAGCGTAGCGTTGCTTAAAGGCTGGCATCACTCGGTGCAACATTTGCTGCGACGAGAAGAGCACCAACTGACCAAAGCGAGGCTGCACCACGACAGGCGGTCTCGGGAACGGGTAAAGCACAATCTCGCCTCTATCGTGTTGCTCCCAGTCTTCATTCAGATAAAGCACAGCAGTCACGCACTTGCCATCGTCGCCGTAAGAATCAAAGTGCATGGGAACCTTGTCCAGCATTGTGTTGCGCCTTGATCATATGTCCCGTCAGTCCCAACCATTCTGGCAATGCTTGATACAACAACTTGAATATCACTTGCTGCTCGTAGAAATCTCGTAGGAACGGCACGGAAGACTGGTCACGAATGGCTTTGAATGCCAATTCCGTCTCGAGAATGCCGTGCTTTTCCAATAACAAAGTTCTCGCGCTTCTTCCTTTACTTGATTCTGCATCATTCAGTAAAACATGCGTCGCGTTTGGATACAATTGACCACTCCTTTGTAACAACTTGATCTCATCACGTAGATGACGAAGATACTCGACAGGAAAAGCATCCGGCATGATGTAATAGCCATCTCGCATGAGCTTATTCACGAAATGAAACGATATTGATGCATTCCAATTCGCATCAACTCGAAATTGAGCTGGATCAAGTGATTGTATCGTTGAAAATGCAAGTTTTCGACCGAGATGCCAAAGTAGTGGAGACCGTAGCATTGTCTTTGTCATTCTTGGTACCTTTTTTTCTGTTTGGCATATACGATAGTGTCGTACTATAAAAGACCCTCTCTCTCGACCATGGGCGAGTTTGTTCCAAGTGGGGTGATTGAAAAGGCTTCACTTCATGACATGATGTACGTTTGATATTGTATGCATGCATGTGGTAGGTAGGACAAGTACACTATCTTTTCTAATGGTTGTATGCTTGCAAACAGCTACGTTGCGTGTCCTAAATGCTTTACCTCCATGACTTCCAAGTTGGTTTCGAATGAGAGATCAGGTATTGAACTAGTGCAAGTACAATGTTCTTCCTGTAGGACAATTACTTGTTTGGATGAGTTACAAGTGAAATATCGATTGAAGGTACGCGTCTTTATGAAAAAGGGGTTTTGTGTCTTGCATCTTCATGTCGATTCTTTTTCTACTTGTTTTTTTGTTATTGGAATAGCTTCAGCTACTCTATGGATCAACTATTGTTGATGGAATACTATTTGACGAAGCAGTCGAGTCATTCCTTGGCGTTTCAGCTTTCAAGATGAAGAAAGACATTATTCCCATGTATCCAAACATATCTCAACTACTGGAAGAATTGCTGCTTGGATTACGTGTCTCTTTTTATTTGCAACGTCCAGCTCCTAAACGTAACGCCCATGACGTCCAGTTTGTAGTATGTTTGTTATATACTGTATGAATGTTGTATACTTGCTGATAAAAGTACTACTAACAAAATAACACTTTGTCGAATGTTTGTGTATTTAGCGCGACCTCAAAATCACTCAGATTAAACCTCTCATGCCTCAGCTTTTACCCGAGCCTGCAGTACTATTTGCTATCAAACTACTACAAGAGAATTAAAAAACCGTCGTGATCAAAAAGAGTAGTAGATTAGACAACGAAATACGCTCAAATGACTCCGTTTTATCTAACTCGGCGACTAGTCATCCTAATTCCACTCCTTAAGTCTGCATTCTCTCATTGATCAAAAGTACTATTTTCTTTCCAAATACCCGCGACAAGAGATCACCCTAGCGGACAGCACTACCTGCCCTCCCCCCTTCCATCTTCTCTCTCATTCTCTCTCTCTTGCTAATGGCACATGATCGTTCAACTCCCGCAACAACTCGTGCAGGTCCTTCATTACTTGTCGCACGTAATTTACTGCCCTCAAATACAAGTAGTAATACAAATAGTAGTACTACTACCAGTAACATCAGTTCGTCCGTATCAACAATAGCGGAACCTAATACTATTACTACTACACGACCACGACGTAATGCTCACAAATACATTCGAGACGATCGTGTCACTACAGCAACATCATCCTCAACAATGTCCACGGCTTCATCAGTCGACAATCCATCGTCTTGTTCAACCACGGAAATAGCTGCAGCAGATAATACAAGACGTCTACGTCGTCATACACATGACAGTCATTCCGATCCGGACGTGGAAAATCCAAGACCACAACGACGTGGATCATCTCCACATCGTCATCATTACCAGCATCAACGATATACAAGAAATGGACTCGAAGCTTTTCGAGCTGAAAAAGCTGTGGGGTTACCGGAAAATAGTACTGTGACTAGTGATATTGGGCCCGAGAAATTTATAGCCAAGGTGTTTGCCACGTCTTGTACAAAGAACGAAACTTTTGGCTCCAAGTTGAAGTCACCACCGGCATCACCGGAAAAAGAATTGTCTTCATCATCAGGTGGACAAGGAAGTGATAAAGAAGAGATGATGATGATGATGGCGAGTACGGAACACCAGAAACAGCAGCAAAATTCAATGAAACCATCGCGGATGGTTGTAAAACGACGAACAACAGGACCAGGTCATAGTAACAATAATCGTCAGACGGTAGTAGGATCATCATTGCCTGCTCGGGAGCCTTTGATTCGAAGCGAAACACCAGGAATGACCAATAATTCCCACATGGATTCTAGCAGTCTACAGATTCCACCCACCAGCAGTCCAGGAGAGACGACATACTGCTTAGAAAAATGGCAAATGCAATTACAGAGGTCAGTTTCGGGACATTCGAGCGGTACAGACGATGAATGCAACGGACGGGACCAATCATCCCCACGACGACTATACAGCAATCAGCGTAGTCGCCAGCTAATGGAGAGCCCGCCACCGCCTGGTCAAGCAGCGACAACTAGCCGGAGGCGTCGAAATGGCTCACCTTTGTTGGACCAGGCTAAAATGCGAGAAAAAAATCTTAGCTTGTCTCGTGGCTCAAAGTATCCGGCATCACCAGGAATGAGTGGTAGATTGCCATCACCACCGCCTCCTTTGTCACTATCTGTGGATGTACAAAGCTGTGCTACGCCCCATTCTTTGGCACGTAACGTTCTTCATCCTGACCATGAATCAGAGCATAATGATGATGCTACGTCGAAGCCTCGATCTGTTCGCATACGGTATGAGACTCCAGAACGCGGCATGGGTAGCAAAAGAGAAATTTCTCATGCATCATTAGGCAAACTTGTCGCTCGTCTCACAGATGCTCACCAGTTTGACACAGAGTTTCGTGACATATTTCTTCTGACGTATCGTTCTTTTTGCTCGCCGTACGACTTTATCAAGAAACTGTTGAAGCGCTACACGGCTGTGCTTTCGCTTTGTGGAGGCATCGATGCGGAGACAATTGAAAAAACGCAGCATTTGCTGAACCAAATCACGCTAGAGGAGAAGAGTGAGCGTTTATCAAATGTTACATCGATTTCGACGGCGCGATCTGATATCAACACGGGAATGGAAGCTAACGTGTCCATAATGCGGCTGCTGAGTGTTCTTAAATTCTGGATCAAGGAGAGTGGTTTTATTGAGCAGGATCTTGCCAACGATCGGAAGGCGCAAAAGAAACTCATAAATCTCCTTAACGAGATTCAAAACACGTCACCTCTTCCATCCATTCGACGACACGCTGAGAACCTGCTGCTAACAGTCGCTCAATTATTGTCATCGCAAAAGCATCAAGCTCAAGTTCAGGCACAAGCACAGGCCCAGACAAAAACGCAAATTCACAGGGGTCCCGTAAAAGTTCTTCCATCTCCCCCTCTCGTGACTACAGCTTCAGCTTCGGCGCTGCCTGATAAATCATACTCGAGGTCGGGAGGTGATATTCTTCAGGACCGTCAGAGCGCAGTAGCACTAGCGAAGGCACACCAGGTCAGCGATCGCGAAGCATCACATTCGCGACAGCGATTACATGCTGCAGCCAAACTAGCCTTAGCACGATCGTTGTCTGATCCGAAACGGGAGAAATCTATGGTGAAACTTCGCACTAAAAACGCGAGTGGTGACATTTTTCAGCTGCGAAAAAGTCGTTCGATTCCTGCTGAAGCTGATGGCCAGGCTGTAACAACAGCATATACGAATGATCGGATGCTGCGTAATGGATCTCAGTATCCGGTGCCCAGTGTCGTTGCTGTGGCGCCAAAAATAGAGCGAGGTATTACTACGGGTAGCGCCGAGGCCGCAATCAAAGCAAATGGCAATGGCAATGGCGCAGGAGGTTTCGACGAGATCATTCAGGATACGTTGCAACGCGCTCGGCTTACGGCAGCGTCGCGTAAAAGCGCGCGCATTAGTTACGATAAAGTGGAGCCTCTGTCTGGATTGGGTGCACAAGAGATGGCCGATCAGCTGACGCTGATGGAGGCAGATCAATATTTCTCGAAATTGAACTCGCGTGAACTGACGAATAAGGCTTGGACTCGTGAAAACAAACATCGTGATGCTCCCCACGTGATGGCTTTGATTGAGCTCTTTGACGCGACGGCAGAGTGGGTTTCGAGCGAGATTCTGCACCCGCAATTACAGGCCGTTGAACGCGCTAAGATTATCACACTTTTTATTGATGCAGCCGATAATTGCTACCATATGAACAATTTCAACACGCTGTTTGAAATTACTACTGGACTCTCGGCGCCTTGTATTCGACAACTTAACACCACGTGGAGCCTGGTTACTGTGGCTGTTCAGGAAAAGTACCAATGTCTTCAGCAAATATGTTCGCCTGATGACAATTATCGCAGTTATCGCCAAGCATTTGCCCTGGTTGAAGGTCAGCCAAGGCTTGCCTGTTGGTTCATCTTAGTGAAGGATTTATTCACGTATGAGGAAGCGATGAAGTCTATGGAGGATGGATTGGTAAATTGGCAAAAGTTTCGTAAGATTTACCGTGTCATTAGGGAGGCCCTTGACCGTCAGAATTTCGACTATGTGGCTGCTAGCTCCAACGGCAGTTGCTTATTCAGGAAAGGCCGCGGCATTTTGAGGCACGACAGAAAGTCGCAGATTCACATCCGGCATCGGATTGACACGTACGTCTCCTTGTGTATTTGTTGAATCTTGTTTCTTGTTGTTTCGAACAAAAAAACTAATGGTGTTGTGCCCTTTAACACTGCCCAGTATTCGCAAAGACAGCTCCGTGTTGTATCAGCTAGCGCGAAATGCCAATACACAAGAGAGTATCCTGTTTGTGAACAGTTTATCCGAGGCAGGATTTCTGTAGTTGGCCACTATCAGCCCGGCTTTTGCGCATCTGATGCTTATGATTTGAGCAACTTTCGTGCTATCGTCGACAAAATGGATACGCAGAGGCTTGGGGTTTCAACGTTGTTTGCTTCCTCCTCTCTTACCAGGTAAGGCTGCCAACGATGAGAGCTGGGCTTCCACGGTCTTGATATTTTGTAACTCGTGAGGATTTGTGGTAGCTAACATCATGGTTGTCATTTCTCTCTGCAGGCACCGAAGGTTTTTCACAACTGCCGTGAATGGGGTAGATGACAAAGTAAAGTATGTTTTACTGACGCTACAAATGGTAAATGGAGTCCCAGCAAAATTTGAGCAGCTTAAGATCCCGATTACTATCGCCTCCTGAAATTGCAGTCAGTTTACGCAAGCATTTAGTGTGATCCACGCAACCGACAATGCTAAAGAATGAAGTTATGCGCCTATAGAACGACGCAAAACTCAATCAGAAGTATCGACCAATACATCAAACCAGCATGACTTTTATCCTGGGATCAGGATCATTAATCTTGAATGAGTTCGCGTGAACAGCGTGCCTGGACAGCGTGCCTGATACATTGCAGTCGCCGAAGAGTACTGTCATTTATACCGAGCAGATCAAGAATCAACGTGTTATCAGAGTGAAGCATAGTCACTGCGCGCTTGTATCCGAGCTCTATGCAGCTGCGATCAAAACCATATTGCCGTCTTTCTTCAATTTAACCATGGCAACAAAATGGAAAAAGACCGAGTGATTTTGTTTGCGGGATCCATTCTAAAGTCATGTCACCATAAGCCCTAATTGTTTTGAATTCAAGAATATCACGCAGCTGAGTCGCGCGCAATGTTCAGTAATTTCAATCGTTACAAGACTGTTATACAGTTGCTGAACGATTGGAAACAGTCTTTGATCAGCTGAATGAAACGAAGGAGAAGCAACGTCGGTATCGTACAACAGCAACATGTTGCAGACGACAACGTGTCCAACTCAATCAGCGCTCCAGCGCTAATTATCGTTCTTATTGACCAGAATGTCTGCTTCTGATGTTAGACTTGCGTCCACTTTGGACTTGCCCTTCTTATCCTCGCCCTGGTGCCGATCACCCAAAGACAGTTTTCGTTTTGCACCAGCTTCACGCTTCTCATCCGTCGTATCGTTCATTGCGTGATCTTTTGTATCTGTCTCGTCTTTCAACTCATTAGCCAGATTTCCAGCAATGTGTTCCTTTTGTTGCTCTTCATTTCCATCCTCGCTCTTTGCAGTAATTTCTAGTGAAGGTTTCGAAGGATCAAATAGAGATTTAACCACGACTCCCATACCAACATCATTCTCTTCCTTGTTTCCATTCAATTTCATCAAAACTTGCTGAGAACGCCACTTGTAAAGCAAATCCAGAAACATATCCCGTTTAAAGTCCTTAGCTCCCAAACTCATTTTGTAGCTCATTGACATGCCCAAATCCCACATTTTGAACCCGGCCAAGTACAAAAACTTGCTAAGAGCATGAAGCTGCACTGTACCTGCTCCATTAGCTCTACTAAAGCCTGTTAGACTCGTATAGACACTACCTACTGTATATCCAAGCTCTCCAGCCACTAAAGAATCCGTGACGACATCATACAATTCCACTGTAAAAAATCTCACTCTAATTCCAGGATAAAGCTCGATACCTGCATTTCCAGCGTTAAATAGGGTTTTAAAGCTTTTGACAATAGGGGGATAGAGCCAGGGAATCCCGTGCTTTTCATGACATCCAGCAATGACACGGTCGAAGTCCCGATTAAGTACGAATGTAAATTTCTTTGCTCTTTTACGAACAATTTTGGGAACGTGCTCGGGTTCATCCCTCTTAAAGAGCAGCAGACAACGCTGACGATGAAGTTTTGGCAGTAAGAGACATTGGTCCTGGAACTCGGAAGCGATGGGTAAGAAACCCTCGTACATGAGATGACTTAGTAATAACGGATCAAAATGACGTGATACATAGAAATCATCTTGTGAATGGAAGACAAAGCGCCGTAAATGCACAGGGATATAGTCGGCGTCTGCACGTAAAGCACGAGGTGGCGTCATAATGATTTTAAATCCATGAATATGTTTTTCGAGAAGGGGATTGGATAAAAGTAGGTTAGAAATGATAGGATTGGTGGAAAGTAGATGCTTACTTAGTATACTGTTTTTTAAGTTTCTATTTGTCTATCATACATTGTGTACGTTATCATGTAACCTGTAGAATCTTATAATTGAAGCAGTTGATTCGGAAGAGTTTGACACACGTCTTGCTCGTCCGTCAAGCAATCATTTGATTTTGTAAGGTCTTGTATAATTTATAAGCGAAGTGTCGTAGCAGCACTTTTGGTCGTGTTGTCACGAACTGAAATAATATGGTACCTATTCTGTCGTCCCCATTGCCATTTTGTCGTCCTTATTGCCATTTTGTCGTCCTTATTGCAATTTTGTCGTCCTTATTGCCATTTTGTCGTCCTTATTGCAATTTTGTCGTCCTTATTGTAATTTTGTCGTATACTCGTTAGGCAAATGAACGATACATACTGTACCGTGATCTTCCGATTACAGTCCCATCACGACACCTATTCGAGTAACTAAACAGAATTTACTTTCCCCTACCCTAACCGCGTTTGCTGAACCTAAAAGAGACGGTCACTCCCTCGAATAGAGCGAGTCAAAAAAAAAAGAAAAAAAACCCTTTTTGGGTTTTATTTCCCATTTTCCGTTTCGCTTGCAACAGTAAAAAGGGTGCAAACTTTCGAGGGCATCTTCGTGCCAGAAAAAGAAGGCACGCACTCTTTAGTATAGGAAAACAATCGGCATAGAGCCAAATGAGTGAAGACGACGACACTAGTGTCGTATTCCAAGAAAAATGCAATGAATTTCCTCCTCTTCTTCGTTCGTCTTCAGCCACAATTCGTGAACCTCAAAGTAACAGTAAAAGAGCGACTTTACCTTATGTTCGATCGGATAATGAGACACAGATTCATACACCCACGTCCTTGAGCTATACGAGTTCTGGACGTGTTGCTAGTGAACGTGTAGGTGGTCGTCGACGGGCTGAAACGGACAACCACATGCGCTCGTCTCTCCCGCCGATACTTTCAAGCAACATTGTCTTGGATCGTCGATTGTTGCACAAGTACGAACAAGTGAATCAGGAGATTGAACGCATTGTTCGGGCCTCTCAAGTGGATCAAGGACAAGGATTATCCGATACAGACGCTCGAAGTGCAAGACAAGTGAAGAATGAATTGCGTCAAGCAAAAAAGAGCTCGGCACAGATGATTCATGCCCAGAAAGAGCTCCTGGACAAGATTGAAAAGCAGGAACGAGGTGGATTTCGTCGAGTTTTTACGCTAAACAAGGCAGCCAAAATGGCCAAATTACGGACCAAATTATGTGCAAAGTTGAGTGAGTCGGTGCTTGTGGATGAAGAGCTACAGAGACTTGAGAGACAGAGCACGGCTTTGTCTGCTACAGCATTGGGCACGATCATGCAGAATGGCAAAGCTGTGGTAAATGTAAGTAATGTTCATGGAGTTGGAGGGAACAATTATGCAGGGACAAACAATGCTGGAAATACAAGCAGCAGTGTCTCGAGAATGAGTGTGACAGGGGTGAGCAATGTGGATGAAATACGTGATGTGAGTGGCTGTGAAAGCAGTGGACCTGGACCAGCAATAATGATGAGTTCAGGATGGGAAGATGCTCAGGAAGAATTGCTGATGCTTGAGAGAGAGAAGGAGGATATTCTTACTAATTTGTTCCAGACGGTGGATATGCCGGCTGTGCTGGATTTACACGCACGTATTGCGAGTTTTACCAGTGAGATTAAAGCAGTAGCAAGTGTGAAGAAACAGGCTGATCGTGTTGAGGAGATGTACCGTAAGGCACTGCATCTGCTACGTGTGGCGCTAGCTGCAGTTGTATCACCGAATTACTCTGGTAGTATCCGTGAGTTTGCTGTGAGTTCATATCCTCTGGCAGTCGAGGCGGGTCATCTCATTGAGCAAGGTTGCCACGTAATTCAACCGGAGGCACGTCGCAAATACGAGTCGTTTGCGCTAGAGCTGACTCACGTGAGACCACCCAAGTTCCCTCAGCCCGTGTCAGATTTTGCTCGGCGCTCACGAACACATTACGACCCGCATAGTGCGCTCTCGATTGAAGGGATGCGTAACTTACACGCAGCTGAGAATGTGCTCATTTTGTTACAGCGGCTGGTGATTCAGAAGCTGGAGGGTATTGAAAAGTGGCAGGCCAAGCTCATTAAGGACCAAGAGGCTGCTGAACGCGCCCATGCGCAGATGGAGACAAAGCTGCAGGAGCAGGTAGCGGTACTAGCACGTTCGGTCTCGGTGTAAGGGGGCAGGACGTGTGTTGTCTATCTGTGATGAAATGGTGCGTGTGCATATCGAATCGAGGTGGGAAAGTGGAGAGTAAGAGGTAAAAAAGCAAGAAGCAAGAAGAGAGACAAAGTCGGCTTTCGATGGCAGAAAGTGAGTGACACAAGTGGAGATTGGCGTCGAAGCCGCAAAGCTTGTAGTTATGGCGGGTGGCGTGGAGGTCGAGTAGCGGTGCGTCAATATATTTATTCGCCACTGTCTCAGAAGTTTTGTTCGCTGGTAATCTTGGCGGCTGCACGTAAGAGGGTTATGGGATGATGAGTCTCCTCTTAAGTTTGTGCAGAAACGCATGGATGGCGTTGTCAAGCTAATTGAAAGTTTTGTGTCCATGGTGAGGCTACGTCGACGTCGCTTTGAGAGACATCATCGGAAAGGTAGAACTTTTTTATCACCACGCTCGGTCGTAAGTTAGTTTGCTATTGTCGCAAACAAACTCAGCATGATCTTCCTGTTCATGGTCGTTTTGACACAAGTCAATCGAATCGTCGCTTTTGGTTTAAGTACGTCACGTTTGGGAAATTGAGGTCGCACGTATGAAAAAGAGAGCTATGGAGTACTACAAGTCCTAGGAATACAAGTCTTCGGATATTCTTCGTGTATCGCTGGCCATAGACGTGTATTGCTGGTTATAGACTTGCGAGTCGGTTGGTTCGTTGTCTGTGAGCGATCCATCGGTAGTCGAATTGTATTCCTTATTGTTTTTTCCATCTCGTTTGAAAAAGACCGTCGTAATAGTCAAATCGTGACACATGACACCGTTACACTGTCGAGTTTTGTTCTGTAGAGCGACATACGGGACACCTTTTTGACGTACGTAAAGTAGTTCTGGGACTCTATAGCATGGCATTTATATGAGCCTAGAACACAATCATCTTTTTATCTGAACAGCAGCCACGTTCATACATCCAGAGCTTTATGTTGTTTTTTGTATGGTACTTGTTGAAGCCAGTGGGTATGCAATGGGTCGCGATCGACCATTATCTTGAGGTCAATCATCTACAATTTACTAGTTATGAAAGCCTTTATATAGGAGTGCGTGTACCTTTATTAACAGTATAATTGTGGCTATCCAACAAACTAAAACGTAGCTGGCTGAACTCGAATGATAGTCCCAATTGTCAGGACAATGGCTACACGATAATCCCTCATTTCAACCAATCCCCACCCATCTCTAGCCTTCAATGTGTAAAAAGCACTTTTTAATATCACTTTTTTTAGTACTTATGGCCTCAGAACACCGAGCCGTGGCGAGTGTGCGTGCTTCTATGGACTTTAATGGACCATTAAATGCATTATCTACATCTCCAAATAATCATTTAATTGCTGTGGGTGGTCGCGATGGTCTGTTACTTTTTATTGCAAATTTTACAATTGTATCGAATGTCCTAATTGCTTATTGTAATATTTGCAGTACTGAAGGTAGTAGCATTGGAAGCTGCAGGCTTTACAGAAAAGCGAAATTTACGTGTTATAGGCAAACCAAGTCTCAATTTTAGCACTAATGACATTCGATGGCATCCACGTACGTCATTTTTAGTGTTTATCGAGAGAAAAAAGTGCTTTTTTTGGGATTCATTTGGACCATTTTTTGTGATTAGATTCGGACTATTTACTAGCTACAGCCGCCACAAATGGTGCTGTTGTCATTTGGAACTTGGAACGAGATGGCTACAAACATGTTCAAGGTGAGTGAAGGTCAGTGGCTGAGAGTCTGGAGATGAAGAGAGAGAGAGCGAGTGATTTGATGGAATTTTTGGTATAGAACGTGTGCTGAATGGACATCGACGTGCAGTAAATCGCATCTGCTGGCACACGACGGACTGGAACGTGCTTATTAGTGGCTCTCAGGATGGAACAGTGAAACTTTGGGTAACTCATCATATCTGCTGGCATCACGGCAGAATTTTTATAATGGCTACTTGTCTTTTTTTTTAGGTTGAAATGTAAAAATATGTTTCTTTGTGGTGTTGTATAGGATAAACGCGGTGGAAAAGTAGTGTCTACTTACCAGCCAAAGTCGGAGAGTGTGCGTGATGTTCGTGCAAGTCCGTTCCATTCCAACAAATTTGCTGCTGCTTTTGAAAATGGAATTGTACAAGTCTGGGATATGCGTAAAAACACACAACCTGAACTCAAGTTTACAGCTCATAAGGGTTTGGTACTGAGTATTGACTGGCATCCGACCGATGCTAATGTACTGGCTTCGGGTGGACGTGATCGCTACGTAAAGATCTGGGAGCTGGGTGATGTTCGACAGCCGAAACAAACGATTCAGACAATCGCGAGCGTTGGTCGTGTGGCTTGGCGGCCAACTTGTGTGACACATATTGCCACCAGTGCATCACTTATGGACAATAGCATTCATGTTTGGGACACAAAGAAGCCATTCATCCCTGTGGCATCAATGAAAGGCCACTTGGATATTGCATCGGGCATTTCTTGGATGGACACACCTGTTTCACCAAACTTTGGTCAGCCTGAAATTCCAGGAGATTGGGAAGGTCATGATTACTGGCAACATATGCTCGCATGCTCCAAGGATGGAACTCTCAAGCTCCATTCACTTGCGGATTCGTTCAAGCCGCACCAATCGCTTCCAACAACGGCATTGGCACTCAACTCGAAAGGTCAAGTCGCCTTCTCCCATGATTACATCGGTACGTAGTCATGGCCTGTGCTGTTGTTTGTGGTGAATAGTATTCGTAAGGTTCATTGCGTGCTGCGTGTGTGTTCTTCCTACAGACAGGTCATGTGCGTCTCTAAAAATTCGTCGACATTTTAGCCTCGGCAGCTCACTTTTTACTGTTGCTGGGGTGTCATCTACCTCTCCATTCATCGGTCCCGTTAGCGGCGAACGAAAGCTAGGTAACGGTCCGTTAGCCATGTCGCTAAGTCCCTATCATGGTAGCTCTGTTAGTCCAGAAGTTGCAAGTGCAACGCAGGAACAGTTACCGGCACGTACGTCCACAGGCTCGTTTGGAGCAGGTTCGCAGCAACCACCTTTACCACCCAAAGGTTTAAGCAGGAGCAGTGCAAACCTGGGAGGGTTATCCAGTGGGGTTCCAACTGCGAGTGCCGACCTTAAATTTGCTGGCGGAAGTAGCAGCAGTAATGCGGCGTCCGGGGTGGGCTCTGCAGGAATTGTGAGGGGCACCGGTTTTGCCTCTTCTTCCCAGTCAACGCTGCTAAATCTACAAAGCAGCAACATCAGTGGAAATGTAGCCGCGTTTTCAGACGGCAATTTTGTGTCCGCGTCAGGTCCGCTGGCGGCCTCGTCACCCATAATCCCGATGATGTCTGGACTGACTGTACCCCGAGCTTTAGTCGCTCTCGTAACGATGCAAAACATTAACAAGGCCAGTCAACTCGAGAAAATATTTCTTGGCAACGAAAGTGCATATATTCAAGCGGGAAAACAAGTGGAAGCCATGCGCGCGCAATTTGAGCAAGGCCAATACTTGAAAGAGTCGTTTGGTTTTGATGAACACGCATTTCGATTCCTCGCCAGACACTACTTACTCTATTCTGAGGGGGCTAGCGTTGGCATGAACTGTACAAACGGTTCGGGCGGTGCTGGTGACCAAACGTCAGCAAAGTCTAGTGTAAGCTTTGAGGACATGTGCGCGCATAATGCTTTGGCTGCGTTTGTCACGGGAAACGCTCATTTGTGTCAGATGTGGCGCATTCTAGAGGTTTTATACACGAAGGAGGAAGCTGACGTAGGAAACAAGGCAAAGTTCAGCGGAACAATGGATACCAGCAAACATTATTCTAGTGATTATAGCCCCCGAGATCAAGTGGGCATGCCAATGGATGAGGAGTTCGATGAGTACAATCCCGAAATCATGCAAAGTGATAGCAATCACGACGATCAAATGGAAAAGTTTGTGCGTGGAGAAAGCGGACTTACTAATGAGTTTGGAGATGATGATTACTGTCACACGAATCTAAATCACAACAATGCAAGCGAGACAGCTATGCTACTTGAACAACTCGACCACGTAAACCCACAAGCTATGGAAGGATTCGATCCGTATCCATATGACCCTAGGGGGAGACTTGCAAACGAGAGCGCACGTGAAGGCGGTGACCGTAACGGTGCGTCTGGGATTGCAAACGTGCGTGGTAATTCGTCCATGATTATGAATGGGAGTGCTGTCATGGGCGATCTCGGTCATTTACGTAGTGACGTATTGAAGGAACTATTGGAGTACTACACGGATATTGGTGACCTTCAGACATGCGTTACGATAACTGTTGTCGTGAGCAGAGTGACAAACGTCGAAAAAGTGATGGGCAAGACATGGTTGCAACATATTTACATGCACTACATCGATCTTCTTCACCAGTTGCAGATCTACACGACCGCGAATGAATTGGTTGCAAATTGTTCGGACCAGTCGATTCGACAAATGAATATGGTACGTCAATTGGTTTACTCTGTCTAAGAACTACTTTGTTATTAATGGAGATTGATACTTTATGTTTTGATGTGTCTGTAGAAATCTACAAGTGTTTATTTTAATTGTGCTAGATGCTCGAAACCTCTTGAAGCAACTGGTCCTAGTGAACGAGGTATTCCCGTGTCTATATGTGGAAGCTGCAGTAATGCTGCGACGCTGTGTTCAATTTGGTACGTCTCCTCATGTAGTTTTTATTTTTTTTATTGTCTCATGTAACTTGCTATTTTTTTTCATTCCTAGTCAATTACCAGTTCGAGGTCTCTATGTTTGGTGTCCAGTTTGTGCACATGGTGGTCATTTGGACCATTTAACCGAATGGTTTGCTCTCGAGACAGTATGTCCAACTGGATGTTCCCATCGGTGCTCTTTGAATTTTGTTTACACTCAAGAAAAATAACAATATATGCTAAATTCTAATCATCAGAGACTGTATACGGTGTATACGTACTACAGTTAAAAAAAATAATCAAAAGTAGTAACAATCGACCAGCTAGAAATACGATCTTTGGATTGGCTGAAATTATGGCGTCTATGATCCAATAAGAATAGACCAATCAACCTTTTCAAAGGAATGGTGATAATGACAGAGATGCGACTATATAGTCGCAAGACAGAGACAAATCACGAGGTAAACAACGTGTCTCTACATTTAATTGCCGTAAATATATAAGAAAATATAGCTGACGATTTCATGGATTATTGTAATGATGTTTTTATCTCCTTTTTTAGTCTGTAATTGGCAAGAAACGGAAGAAAAAGAAACGTCGACGACTAGGAGACGATAATGAAGAGAAAGATGATGCATGCACTGCTTTGTATATGGCTGCACAAGCTCATATGAAGCAGAAAATGAAGGAAGTAGGACTGGAAGGGATTTTGCCACTGAGTTTTGGCAACAAAGTGATGATTAAGAAGATGAAAAAGCACAAAAGATCATTGGAAGAGACTTCGGAGTTGATTTTGGATGAGGAAAAGGTGGATCAAGTAGTTATTGGAGAGGAAATTGATGGTGTTGATTGGAAACAAGTGAAAGTGGAGGGTGGAGAGGAAGTTACTGCTATTGAGGTGGAAAAAGAGGAGGTTCAAATTAATGAGGAAGAGAGCTTGATTCCGGAGACGACGACTGTTGAAAAGGTGCGGGTAGTTTATGATTCGGATGGTGGAGTAGCGGAGCGAGTTGTTGAGAACGTTGAAGTGGGAGTAATGGTTGAGTCGGAGAAGCAGAGCGTGGATGCAATTGTATACAAGAAATCACGTGGCAAGAAGAAATACAAGTATCCAGGTATGGATGCAGATGATGGTGTCGAAAGCTTTTTCTTAGTTTGTGCTGACTAGTTGAGTTGTTTGGTGTTTCTGTGTTGCAGTTGCAAAAGATGTTGTCAAGTTTTACGTGCAGAGGCACATTCTTTTTGAAAAGTTTGAGGACGGCATTCAACTTGACCATGAAAGCTGGTACTCGGTGCGTATGCATCTTTGTTGGCACTACCTCACTGTAAACTTGCTGACGCATAGTAATGAACTGCAGGTCACTCCTCAAGTGGTCGCTGAACATATTGCAACGCGTCTCAGCTGTGATGTAGTAATTGATCCATTTGCTGGTTGCGGTGGAAACGTCATTCAGCTAGCTATGACGTGCAAGCAGGTAATCGCAATTGATATCGACCCAAAGAAGATTCGTATGGCAAAGCATAATGCTGCTATCTACGGTGTGGCAGAGAAGATCGAGTGGATTGTGGGTAACTCGATCGACATTATGCCCAGGCTTAAGGCTGATGCTGTGTTCTTGTCGCCTCCCTGGGGTGGAGTATCGTACAACCGCCAGCATTTCAGTATAGAAGACATGCTAGTGAAAGGCGTGTCTGGCTTGGGTCTATTTGCCATGGCGCGCAAAGTGTCGAAGAATATCGCGTACTACCTCCCGAGAGGTACATCTACCAGTGATCTCGAAGCGCTAACACCTGGTGAGCCCGTTGAGTGCGAGAAGGTTTTCTTGAATGATCACCTAAAAGTGTTGACGGCTTACTACGGCGACTTGGTAACGCCGAACTTTCAAGCTGAAGAGAGTCTAGTACTTGTTGAGGACACAGGTGATACATGAAGAGAGCAGAAACTACAAAAAACAAAATCCAAGCAATTGAATTGTTGCTGTGATACGGCATTCAATAGGGCGTGCAAACTTTACAGCCTTTAGAACGGGACTTTTGGGAGCTCCAACAAGCCAAACTCCGTCTTGTACATTTCCGCCATAGTGTTGTAAGCCAACATGTCACCTGCACGAATCATGTTTCCTGCAAGACCAGTAAGTGACAAATTGTGTCAGTCCAATCCATAAAAAAGTTCACAGACTTTACGTCCTCACCGGCATCACAGTTGAGAGGGGAGTCTGCCGCAGGGTCCGACAATAGCGATATCACAGCTAAGCACGCAGCCTACACAAATTATCAACAACAGTCAAATTACGACAAATAAGAAAACTATCCGAACAACTATAGGCCGGACCCTTAAAGTCCATGCTGGCGACCATTCACGCTTGAGAATATCAAGACAAATACTGCCGTCCTGGAACGAATAACATGTAGTACAATTATACGCAAAAAAATGCGTTCATATTAGTAGATAAGAATTTCAAATAATTAATATTCTACGTATTTTTCTTTATATTTTTTATAATAAACTTGCCTTAAAATGAACATTGGGATGAAAGATTTTCGTGATAAATTTCATCTTTGGCGGTTCCATGGGATACAGTGGACTCGTTTGAATTGCCAATTCAAAGCAGCGATTCTCGAAAGGAGTGTCACTGGAACCACGAATAAAAGCCTTCCAGTGCATGATCGTGTCTTCTTCTGGGTATAACACCATGTCCTCCTCCGGATTCTTCTTGAGCTCTTGGAGCTCCTTCCGAAGACGCTTTACGTTCGTATTCATTTTTTTTCTTATTTTCATCTTTTTATATGTATAATTGAAATATATTTGACTTCCTGGTAGTTCACTATACGCTGCGATCATAAATGTAGCCATCTCCATATAGCCACCCGTTTGTTTCTGTGAAACTGATATAGTCTTTGTGCATGACAAAACCTAGTATAAAGTTATACCATCGTAAAAAATAGAATACTAATTATAGGCCAAACATATTAAGCAGCTAAATGCTAAATCCTAAAATGGAAAATTCTAGACAGTGCGTAGGTAGCAGTTTTTAGAAGCTAATTGGAACAATACGTTCGTTCTTGTGCTTTTCGACGTTACCTACACTACCGACACAATCGATAGACGACAAGCAGATGCATCAACGAGACGTACTTTCCCACACCGTAGTGTTGTAGCTATCGCAGACTATCCTTGGAAACATGAATCCCTGCTTAAACAGATCGTTTCCAATCCAGTCTAAACTACCATTCCAAGTGGATTTTTATACATGAACAAAAAAAGACGAGAAATTATGTAAGAAAAAAAGATGTGTTCACTGCAATAATAAGGCTAAAATACTACGACTACGCCCCATCACACACAGCGAGCTAATTGGCGAAAAAGAAGAAGAAAAAAAACAATTATGCCGCCGAAGAAGGGGGGATGCGCAAGACGGGACACGACTGCTAGCTCGCACAAAAGGTTACGTGCGTTCACCACGAATGCGCCGAGCAAGCTGGATATCCTTGGGCATGATCGTCACACGCTTGGCGTGGATAGCACATAGGTTTGTGTCTTCGAAAAGACCCACAAGATAAGCCTCGGATGCTTCTTGCAGAGCCAGAATAGCTGTGCTCTGGAACCGAAGATCCGTTTTGTAGTCCTGTGCGATCTCACGCACAAGGCGTTGGAACGGCAACTTGCGGATCAAAAGGTCCGTGGATTTCTGGTACTTGCGAATCTCACGGAGAGCAACCGTACCAGGACGGTAACGGTGAGGTTTCTTGACTCCACCAGCAGTAGGGGCGGATTTGCGAGCAGCCTTGGTAGCGAGTTGTTTACGAGGAGCTTTGCCTCCGGTCGATTTACGTGCTGTTTGCTTTGTACGAGCCATCTTTGGGTTTGTAAAAAACCGGAGTCTTGAGAGGTTTTGAGTGTTCTTGTCTTGAAACTTGGAAAAGCGATAATGAAGTTATGAGAAGAATGAAGAAGGGAGAACTTGCTCGCCGGCTCGGACATGAAGTATACAAAATTCAAGTAAAAAAGATAACCTGTATGCAAGCAGGAGAGGCGACGTTTTCTCTGGCGTAACTACAGCTCTGCCATTATACTTGAATTTCGTATTACGAAGTATCGGGGAGAGGCTCGAACGGGCGGGGCGACGTCGTCAATGACCATACCCAAACAAAGCTTTTTTCTTACCCCTGTCGCGCTTTTCCGTGTCTCTGGACCATTCGCTGCGCTGGCTCCCACATCCTGAAGACTGTCTGTGTAGAAAACATATAGAGTTTTGTATAGGCCCTTGGCTGCAGCCAATGGGCATTTAAAGGTCGACTAAAAGTCTTAGCTGGAGGCTTCGTATTTATCTTGGTTAAACTATGGATTCGTCCACGGTGTCGTTACGAGCCAACCGCCGATCCATTCACCAATCACATCATAGCCCTACCCCTGATGAGTGCATAAGAAAAGCCACGTTTTTCCAAGCAATTTACTTCTGATTCTGTTAAAAGGTCGAATCGCGAGAAGTCAGTCAGCTAAATACTGCTTTTATCTAGGGTTGAATACTGATGGTGTGATACCGATACATGTATTCATCAGACTACAAAATGGGAATTTCGGTCTGCTTCTGTCTATCTGTACCTGAAAGTGGCTATAGAATCGATTTAGATTAACGCCTTTATACCGACTGATAGGAAACACAATAATACATCTACATTTTAATAAGACATGCATCACAGAAAATACGTCGACATCTTCTATTCTTGCCAAGTAAATGGAAATTATCGTTTTTTTGCGGAAGAGGGACATTATTTACCATGCCATGTGTTTGCTACGTTTTTACGACCATCACTCTCTCTTCCATTTTCAATTACGTCATCAACACTATCTCGTGTTTTGTACACAACCTACTTACATGGTGTAACATTTATGTACAACGTCATCGCAAATGGACTTTGAAGCATTGGCAGTCGAATGCTGTAACGCTGCTTTCCGGTACGCGGTTCAAATGAGTCATTATGTACTACAATGAAGCTCATCAACTGCTTGACTTACCTCTTCGTTTTTTCACTCTATTTGGAACCAACTGAAACGTTGTTTTCACTGTGAAATGCTGCATTTTCCACCTCCAGAGAGACATTTACGGCTTCGTCCGTGTGGACGCAGGCCGCCGAGACAATGGACACTTACCTAAACCAGCTACAAACTGGTATAAAATCTGTAGGATCTGAACGAAATGTTGAGAACGACGTACAAGTGACAGACATTGCTGAGGACGACGATGGACTTGGCTACACTTTTGTAGTGGATCGCAAGAATCCGACAATTGCGTCACTACATGATGATTTATTGCCACTAACGCATGTAGTGGTTAATGCTAAGCAAGTATCAAGTCGAGTGGAGGCTCTGACAGCAGTTTTCCGCTTCCTTCGCAATGCATGTGCAACAAATCGTGACAACCAAGACGCCTGTCTGGATGCTGGTCTGATCAAACGAGTACGACTCGCTTTCTGCTGAGTGGTTTACATTTTTTCAAGTGAATCTGAGGCTACTTGTGCACTGTAGGCCTATGATGTAGTGCTTCGGTGCTGTCTCTGGGTGGATGTAGAGGATGAAGCAGTTAAAAAGTGAGATTGGTCTTTGAAAATGATGATTCTTGTCAACGTAGCGGTACTGACATTGAGTGTGTTTCTTTTAATGCAGACATATCGTGCTGTTAGCTCATGTTGCACTCCAGTTTTGTGTAAACAGTGTCACCAGCAACCCGAAGAATCAGGTGGCAGTATGGGAATGCTTCTTTCCCGATGCTTTTCAGGTAAAGACGTTGTGAAAAATGTTGCCTTGCTTTGTATTTGCTGATAGTCACTTGCTTTGCGCAGAAAATGTTGCTGGAGTGCCATCAGTATCGCAATGTCGTCGCGTTTACAGTAGCACTGATCTTGAACTGTGTTAACTCAAATAGTACTGCTGCATCCGAACTCGAGGAAGTTGCCACTCGCCGGGTTGATCTGGTAGGCAGGGTCGGCAACACGACCTTTCACAGAAACACTTGTTAACTTTTCTTACAATTTTACAGGTGTGTGCGCGGAACTTGGTGACCACGATTCTCCACCGCTGCATCGTAAAGCCGCAAGAGATGGACGCGTTACTGCCTATTGACACACAGGTCGATGCACAGGACTCGGCTTTTGAGTGGATCTCTTTGTTGTTTGGCGTTCTCTTCCGCGCCGGTCATATTAAAGACCTTTACAACGCCGTGGGAGCTCACATGCTCAGTAAACTTTGGTCTCGTGTGACTCCTGAGCAATTGATTTTGCTACGGATGTTCAAGATGTGGGCCGTGTCCACGCCCGTTGGGATCTTCGCTATCGCAATGCAGGAAGAGCATAGCGGAAAACAAGTACACGTATTCTCTGAGGGTACATTTGAGTTTGTGAGAAGTACATGGACCTACGTCATTACCGTCGGCGACGACGACAGGCCGAACGAAGCAGATGAAATCAGGAAGAAAGTGTGGATCGAGCTCGAAAACGAAGCAAAGTTGATATTGCTCGATGTGCTTGGAGAATTGACAGTCGGTCACACTCGACTGAATGCAGAGGGGGCCCGAAAACTACTGGTTTCTCTTGCCCAAGAGCTACAGCGTGTTTGGGAGTTGGGGCGTCAAAATCCAGCAAAAAGGAATTATCGGGCAACCAAGTCTACGCTACAGCCACAAACAAACGGAGAGCCGCTCGGGTACAGGTCTCGGTTAATTCGTGTCATTGGCAACCTCTGCTTTCGGCACACATACCACCAAGATCTTATACGCGACGAGGGTTATTTGCCATTGTTCCTCAATCACTGTAACATTGACGAAACAAACCCATTGGTCCGTGAATGGTCCTTGGTAGCTCTGCGCAATTTGTGCGAGGGAAATGAGGCCAATCAATCGTACATTAATGCGCTTCGTCCGCAAGGAATGGATGCAGCATCAGATACAGCTCTCGAAAAAGCGAAGGTGCGCGCACATATTGAGGAAGACGGAAAGGTCAAGCTGACAAAACAGGAGGAGTAGCATGACAACACGAAGAGATAAGCGGTGTTTGCCTTCTTGATCCGCTCCGTTTGCATTCGACTCAAAGTGAATGCGAAAGAGCAAGTTAACGTGCAACAGGTTGAAGCACCGCTTCATTGAACCTTTGCAGTCGTTGATAGGTATTGGGATGCCTCTATAATAGACTTTCCTAGGTTGATGATGACCTACCGTTCTCTTTGGCTCATATTTGAAGATGCAGTAGCTACAAAGATAGGTGAGCTTATCTCTTTTTACAAGACTTAATCTTATGGTTATCTTGCCCTGACATGATTACAATAAAGAATGCTCTCAGTTAAGAAAGATCAATACTTTCCGTCGTTGCTATCGACAGATTCCACGGTGTAGACAAGCACTTCGTAAAGAAGCTACCACGTACTACGCGGGCACACCTTCAAGCAGCGCGAAGAAGCGGTAAACCGTCTTATCGCCGCGTGCGGTGGTGGTGGTGTTGGTCGGCGCTAAAGAGCTGTACCAACCGTTGCCGGTCGCTTCAAGCGAACCGCGCAACGAACTTCTAAGACAAGGGCTCCAATTACGACACGCAGAAGCTTATACAGCTTCTCGTGCGCAGTGAGCTATGTTTGGCAAATTCAAGACTGACTTATATCTTATAAATTTTAACTAAATATACGTTTAACTACTGATTGGCTAATTATGCAAAGATTGGATACGCGTCTCTTTAGAAACGTATCCTTACGTGCGAGCTTAAAAATATTTAAGCTCGCAGGTGACGTCTGTTGAAAGCGTCACCATAACGCCCAGTCCCAACTGGCGTCATCCTTGTTGAATGTGAATCCATCCATGAATATCACATTCACGAGGGTGGGTCACATTGATGTACCACACCCAAGTGGCAGACCTAAGGTACCTCGTACCCATTTAGGCCTACCCGTTAAAAAATTTATACTTAACAAACCGTGGAATTTTTAGCTCGTTACACACAGACTATCGCTGAAAATTAGCAAATTGGCGTTCTTAACAAATTAGTTGCATTAATTACGTCCCCATCGTAGTGGTGACTTGATGTAAGAGTGAGACCGACAGCCCGCACCATAAGCGTGAAGCTGATGCGTTTCGCCGAGCTTGGAACGCATTTATTCTCAGCATTCATAGCGTTTGGCGTGATGCTTGGTTTCAAAAACTTATTGCTAAATCGCAATAAATTTGAGAAACGAAGTATATCCGGTGCATGCTATCGCTTGCATCGGCTGTCAAGATGCTGGACTGCTATGCCTCTCTTGAGGCGACTTTAGCCCGGGCTGCGTGAGCACCTCCTCAAGAGCGCCTAAGGAGGCGTACCTTCTTAGTGAGCCCCGTTGAAGAGCTCACATCTCTTCTGAGATGCGCGAAGGGTTTGCTACTTTGCAAATCCTCCAAGAGCGCATTGGGCGCTCGTTTTCTGATGGCCCTTCTTCACCATCGGATGGGCCTTGTCGTACTGCTCTACAAGGCCAAGAATGTCAGCCATCAGTTGGGCTCGAGGTTCCCAGCTATTTGCCAAAGGTAGAAAGCCGCGCCAGCGGACGATATGACTCGTCCGACGTCCCTTCCCGTCACGGCGATTCAGAAAGCTCTCTACTAGGAAGCGCTTCCCACCGTGCGATTCCACCAGAAAATGCGGTGGTGGAGGAAAAATACTGTCCGATTCTTCCATCGAACTTTTCTGCTGAGTTAGACGGGTTTTCCCGTGTAGCTCGTGAGCTACGTCGTGATATCGATCACGAGCGAGATAAGCGTTACCGCTCAAAGGACATTGTGCGACAGCCTGGGTTTGAGCATGGAAGTCTCGGGCAAACAATGCCGTCGCACTCTTGGAGAATGAACGGCGGCTTCGTTCTCTGAGTAACGAGCTGTTAAAAGCTCGTCAGGAGATTGTCCAGTATCATGGGACGATCTCGTCTCCAAACGACCAGGTATCGAACCTGGTTTGTCACAGCAGGAACTTGAAGGGGATTCTTGAGAGTGGCGGCTATCTTCGTCGTTCAAAAAAGCCACGTACTGAACGTACGGACGAAGACGTCCCACGCAAAACGCAGGATGCGTACGCATCCTGTGTGGCAGCTCAATCGTGTATGTTGTTGCCTAGGCGGTGCAATACAAGAAATGGACTGATGTACTTGGGCAACAACTTATTCCTGCCCACGTTAATCACCACGTGCTTAGGAAGATTTACTGTTGACAGTAACACTATATCTTCTTCAATAAAAGAATGAGAATTTGCCCTTCCAATATTGTCTGTGTTTCTTTTCTAATTGTCCACCGCTTCTGCGATGGGGTCTTGCACGACACGGACTACCGCTTCACGAGGCAGCAAGAAATCCTCTGCTGACTCATTTCTTTTGGCTGCATTGCAATGTGATTGCACTGCAGGGATATCCGTTACGAACTCAACGAAAACATTACTGTTCTCGCTAGTTATACCTCGAACGATGCTAATATCGTCAGTATCAACATTAGTAAGAGCGTCATCGCTCTTACTTTCTTCTTCTATACAGAAGTCGAATGGTACGACTTCAGTTACCTTTGCGTCGACCATAACATCGCCGCGTGATGATCAAGAGACAAATTGGCTCTCGCCCGAGCGAGTCCCCCCCTTACATTAGGGTCACCCTCTACTAAGGTGGGGACACGTGGATGGCAAAGGCCATCCACGTAGAATGGTGTATACGTCGTGGACGCATATGTGGCGAAGCGAAGGGACGAAATTTGCAACGTGCAATCGCGCATTTTCGGTTAAGTCCGAAATGGGTAAATGGATGAATCGCGATCCAGCAGAAGAAGTTCTCGAGATGTTACAAAAAATGGAATGTACAACAGTGAATGGTGGTGCTCGCAGTTCTTTGTTAATTTAACTACTACGGACTAGAACTACGCAACTGTATACCAGTATTTTTCGAATGGCGATCCGCGTGAGCGCGATCACTAAGATAGAGAATTAGTATGTTCAAGTATGTGGAACACGGTCTGGTGTATACTACATCACTATGGAAGACTGGACTGAGGTGGACATGACATATCATGTAGATGGACCATTTCACCTGATCCGGTACACTGGGAAGATGACAGTGACAAGCCATGATCCGGCGGATCGCGATCCGACACTAACTATTCGTACCGCGATCCGATACTATTATCGTATCAGATCCGATCGAGACAACGATTCAAAGGCGGTAATATTGGAGTGGGCCACATGACAAGATTTAATTTTCTCGAAAGGGTTGATATGTGGCAATAGATCCTGGACTACAGATAGTCAGAATCGTAGGTTTTGGTATTTGATTGGTTATATTAAAGAGAATTCAATTTACTTCAAAAGGAGCGTGTCAGCTTTTCCTCTGGGTGAATTTTCTATGGCCACCCGACGTCTAGAGAATCTCGGCCCCCTCGCAAGTGTACGCCCTGGATTGTTTGTCCAGTTGCGTTAAGGACTCCCAAGATATCCCCAAGTTGAGATTGAACGCAGAGGACTAAGAAGTCCAGATACAAGATCGCAAGACGGCTCAAGTGGTCAGAAGGCAAGCGGGTCAAGTATCAACCAATTGGACTAGGCGACCTCAAGGGAGATCAGGGCGACTCAAATAGAGAACCCCCACGAACAACTGCGATCGTGTGAGAAATTCCACTCGATCGCCCCCCCCCCACCTATCCCTAACACAATCAAGTTCAACATCGATTTAAGTCCACCGAGAAGAGAGCAACCCGCCCAACAGACGGGTACACAAGGTGAGGAAGGCTATATACACGGAATAGGGGTATCTCCTCCATTAGTCGATCGTCCGGGCGCCAGTGGAGAGTAGGAATCGCATCAGCAATTTTGCGAATCCCACTCCACCACACATGCACTAAGTTGTTGATGGCGAGTTCGACCATCGACTCGAACTCACTCCAGCTCGTGAATGAGTAGACGTACCCTCAAAGTATCGCTTCGAGGACGCGATTGGCGCGTTCAGTCTGACCATCAGTTTCTGGATGGTCAGAAGTAGACATTGCGAGCCGTATTTCTAGTGTTTATAATACGTAACACCAAAACTCAGCCGTGAACAGGGGGCCCCTATCGGACACAAGTTCACGGGGATGACACGGTGAATGTCTTGCTTTGCCGAGTATTATTTTGGGGTATATTACAAGACTGGCAAGAACAACATTCTCGCTGACGCGCTTTCTCGTCGTCCTGATTACGATCCTCGGTGCGACATAGTTACGCTGAGACAATTGAGGGATCTTGGCGGCGGTACCCAATGATTCGTGATCTGTATAGATAGAGAACATCTTCTCTCCGAGCAAATATACTGTGAGCTTGATTAGCGCTTAAAACATAGCCAAAAGTTCCTTGTCGTATACTGGATAATTTTTCTTTGCAGTTTTCATCTTTCATGATTGAAGTTCTCACGACGCGCTCTCGACTCTCGTAATTAAATTTTATGTGAACACATCCTATAGCGAGACTGATCATGTCACATACGAAGTAAGATGGCTTGGAGTCGTCAGGTAACATCAACACCGGTGCCTCGGACAAGCTCTTCTTTACGGAATCGAAGGCAAATTGATGTTCTGCCGTCCATAACCATACTGCATCTTTCTTGAGTAAAGTCGATAATGGCTGAACTAGCTCAGCATAGTTCTTCGTATACTTATGCAAGTAATTCGCCAGACCGAGCCATTGACGTAGTTCAGTTTGGTTCCTGGGCGTTGGCCAGGAACAGATCGATGAGATCTTCTCAGGATCAGCGCGTACACCTTCCTTGCTGACGTAGCAACCGAGTACTGGATTCTCGGGAGCGCAGAAGACACATTTCTTCAAATTAGCATACAATTTACTCACGCGCATAATTGAAAACACCTGCTATATGTTTCAAAGGTGTATCTCTGTAGTGCTGAGCTTTTGCTCAGCGTGGCTGTGAACAAAAATTTCATCAAAGTAGCTCAGTGCCAAGTCGCAAACTGCACAAAGTACTTGTTTCACCATCCGATCACACGTC